TGCTTGTGTGCCAGAATCTTACCAATGAGAGCGTGTGTAGTGTAGCAGCTAAAGAGATTGAGCTGTCACCCAGGAAGTCCCTGATTAAAAATCTCAGTTCAGCCAGGAACTGGCTAGCTGCCCTTAGCCATTCCACTGCATTGTTTTATCAACCTCAGATTCCTGTTCCTCTTCTGTGTAATATGGGAATAATAGTATATATACAATATATATATATAATACATATATAATAGTGATATACCTTATCCCAGGAATCCATGCAACAGACCAGTAAGGTATTCTGTATTATTATCCCCATGCTCCAGATGGGAGCTAAGGGAATCATAGCTTTCCAAAGGCTAACCAGAGAGGTTATTTTAGCAGTGCAAAGGGAGCTGGTTTTAATAGCTTTACTGAGCTACTAATGTTCTCTTTAATTACTGTCAAAAACATCCTATTTCTGCCAATTTCATTTGGCCAGTCTTTTACTCTGAGAAATGAAATGAACAAAGATCAGGATTAAAAAGGAGGGAAAGGAATCGCTGGACTAACAAATTGAATTAGAATACAAAAGAGGGAGGTATGAGGAGGTCCGGGAGACAAGTAAATGTAAAAGAAGTGATGAAAAGATTGAATTGTTTTTAACCGCTTTTTCTTTTTAGTATTTTGTATTTTGTATTTTTCCTTTTTATTGTTAATTTTCTTATTAATGTGATCTTTTTCTTTTGAAATTTTAATAAATATCATTTAAAAAAAAAAAAAAGAGAAATGAAATGAACAAAGATACAGCTTTTTTGGAGAGCTTTTTGTCCCAGAACTGTTAAGTGCAAATGTATGTGTAGTAATATCCATATCCATAGTAGTATCCCTGAAATAGTTGCATAGTTGAATGAGTAATTTTTCCTTCTCTGCTGAGGGTTAGTTTCCAACTGAGAAACCAACAAAACCAACATAAATAACTTTCAGTGCAAAGTGAAAGTTCCTGAATAACTTCAGTGGATAGGTATATTTTATAGGACCTACATTAGGATTCACAAATCCGCTCCACTTCCCAGTGGGGAGGAGTTGCGGTGGACCGCGTGATCACCCCCTCCCCACCGGGGGCGGGGGACTTTGTCCCCCGTTGCCCGGGGGATCCAAGCCATGTCAGAGCCTGGCCAGCCAATCCACTGGCGGGGGGCGGGGGGGACGGCATGGCTGGGGCCATTTAAACTGGGGAGTGAGCCAGAGGACTTCCTCTTTGGCTCGCTTCCTCAATCATCCACCCTCCCTCCCTATTTTTCAGGTTAGGCACTGTCCTTGCTATGGACTTTGGTTGGTCGCCTTGGTTGTCCGAGGGGCCTGGTAGGAATTTTTCCACTTGGCAAATTGGCACTGGCCACTTGGTTTTCACCTATCTCGTAGCAATCGTCACAACTTTGTTAGGGTTGCGGTTAGGCATTGTTTAACCTTGTGGGGGGGAGGGGAGGTGTGGCTATCACACATGCTTAAGGGTATTCCGTTAAAGGAATCCGGGGGTGTTTATTTTTTTTTAATTTTTAATTTTTTAATTTTATTAAGGATTTTCTTGTTTTACAGAAGTGTAGTGCCTCGTTTTTTTTTCCCCATGTAACATTTTTACAAATCCGTTTCATTTGTTGAGGCATTAGGGGGAGAAGAAAAAAGAAAGAAAAAAGAAAGGGGGGTGGAGAGAGGGAAGATGGATGGGGGTGGGGTCGGGTGGCGGTGTTCTATTATGTTTAATGTATGTAGAGTTTGGTGTCAGCGTTGCTTGTGTTGTTCACTTGTGTTCCTTTGGTGGTGAGAGAGGTTGGGGTTGGCCTAGGGTGTGATTGTTTGCTTGTGATTGGCTGTGGTGATCTTTGTTTTCGAGTGTGAGTGAGGTGGGTGGGTGTTTTGGATCAGGTTAGCCATATTGATTTGTATGCTGTTGGTGGATTATTGTCATTGTCCTGTTGGGCTGTGTATGTGATAAAGGGGAGCCATACCGGGGTGAAGGCGTCTTCTTCTGTTTGTCCCCGTGTCAGTTTCAGTTTATTAGTTAATTTTTCTAGTAGGGCTGTTTCCCATACTATTTGGTACCATTGGTCCATGCTTACTCCTGACAGGTCTCTCCAGTGTCTGGTTATGGTGTTTCTGGTTGCTGAGAGCAGGTGGGTTGTGAGTTCTTTGTGGTGTAAATGGGAAGATGTTTAGTAGGGCCAATTCTGGTGTGGGAATCCGGGGGTGTTGATCTTGTCTGAAGCCTGGTTGGGGGCTAGGGGCTTGACACGACCCCGACAGGAACACCAGGGGGAGCTTGAGTTGGTTTGCATCAACAGGGCTCCCCCTACAGGTGGTTTACCCTTACCGGACTTCCTGCACAGCGGGCAGGAGTCAGATATAGTTGGGTCCAATCAATGCCTAAGCCAATACCGCTCACATTATGTAATTCAATAAAGTTGTGGCCAAATTGGCCCAATAACATAAACCTAATATCTGTGTCTCTGTGTGAGTTATTTCCCAACGAGGGGGTGACTGCGGGGTCTCAACATGCAATGAGAATCTTTGTGAAAGCCCCCGGCTCCTCGGGCTCCTCCACATAGTCATCCAAGGCACTTCCTGACTTAACAACTTGGAGGAAGCAACCTGTTCAAACCTCACCTTTACCATGAGCTCAGGTTAAAGCTTTAGGCAAGCTACTGCTTCTCACCCTTAGCAGTACAGAGTTAATTTGGTCTACTTTACCAGGTTGTTGCAAGGATTAGTAGGAGGTTATATATATGAGAAACAGTTCAAAATGCTGATTATTATGATTATTTTACCCATTTGACAATTCTTGTGTGCCTGTTTTCTGCAATCCCCATGAAAGGCATCAGTTATCTGGTCTGCACCATGATAATGTAAACTAAAGGGGATTAACTTATTCCCATTGGGGTTGCAGGGGAAGTACCGTATTTTTTGCTCTATAAGACTCACTTTTTCCCTCCTAAAAAGTAAGGGGAAATGTGTGTGCATCTTATGGAGCGAATGCAGGCTGCGCAGCTATCCCAGAAGCCAGAACAGCAAGAGGGATTGCTGCTTTCACTGCGCAGCGATCCCTCTTGCTGTTCCGGCTTCTGAGGTTCAGAATATTTTTTTTCTTGTTTTCCTCCTCCAAAAACTAGGTGCGTCTTGTGGTCTTGTGCGACTTATGGAGCAAAAAATACAGTAAATAGGCATGTGGCAGTTTACTCTTCACTCTCTTTTTATTTTATTTTTACAAAGCCCATCAGTTGTCTCTCCACTGCACAAATTACATTGTGTGAACGCTTGGGGACGGACAGACTGAAAATGCATTCAAACCCCATGCTTCCAGAGGGGTAATCATATTAAGTCTGCTGCAGCCAAAACAAAGTGAATTGTGGCACCCTCAAAACATAACGGGTTTGTTGCAGAGTAAACTTCATAGAATAAGTTTCTGTGTGGGCTAAAGTCTGCTTCATTAAAAGTGTTATCCTCAATTGGCTTATATAAAGAGAAAAATTGCAAAAAGTGGTGTCAAATAGTTATGAAAGACAAGAGGTACAGTCTGTGCAAATCTCAAATGTATAAAAAACAGCCATAGGGACCATTCATTGCAGCTGTAATAGGCAATCCTTAAACTACAGCACCTATAAATAATGAGATCACAGAAGCACAGCCAAACAAAGTAGGATGGTGGAATGAAATCAAGCACTCAACTATTTATCAGATATCGAGCTTGCACTTAGAAGTGTGCATGAGGAAGCAGAGGAGTATACGAACTTCATACAACTAAAAAAATCTTTTGCAGAATAGTGTGACCTGTTTAGACATGCACTTCAGCATGAAATGGAATGTGGTTGAGTGAGGGAAGGAGTTGCGCTGGTCTCTATTGCAGATTATGTACATATTATTGCCAGTGACACTTGCCTAACCATAGGCTCAATAGTAAAGGCCATGGATTGAACTAGACCTTCTACAAGCAAGCAGGTGCTCTACCCACTGAGCTATTATTCCTTTCCAAGACTCCATGCGCACTGAGCAAAAGACGTGTGAACTGTAGGTAGTAAATGGGAACAAATGTTTGCAAACACCTTCAAAAGCATGACTATGCAGAGGCCATTCTGAAAGAGCTGTGTTGCATTATAAGACAAATGTAATAATTATGACATAGTGAGATGTGGGCAACTCGCACCTGCAAGAAGCAACGCCTCAAGACCTTCCATCAGGAAGATTTTGGGCATCATATGGCAGGACAGAGTCTCAAACAAAAATGTGCTCTCCCAGGTCCACATTCCTAGAATGTTTGCACTCCTGTCTCAGTGACATCTTGGTCACATCCACGGAATGGAAGATGGCAGGGTCCCCAAGGATGTGCTCTGCAGGGAGCTGGCTTGAGGCAACAGACCCATTGGCAGACCAACTCTAAAATTACAAATAATAATAATCAGTTTATTATTTGTACCCTGCCCATGGCTTCTGGCATATACAGAAACGTAATAAAACATCCAACTTTTAAAAGAAAGATGTATGCAAATGTGACGTGGAGATTGGCAACATTAACCACACCGTATGGCAGGCATGTCCAAAGTTCATTTCGGGGGCTTAATTTGGCCCGCCGGTTGGTTTAATCCGGCTCCTGTTGCAGTTTATTTCCTGGGGTAAAATCCTAAAAAACCTCGACATCAATCGTAAAAAAAGCTCAACTTCAACCCTAAAAAAAGCCCAACAACTTCAATCCTAAAAAAAGTTAACAACTTTGGTCGGCCCTCACGGCCCTCCACTTCATCAGATCTGGTCCTCTTTGAAAAAAGTTTGGACACCACTGCACATGGGAATCCCTTGCAGACAACTGCAGCACCTGGAGATAATCAGGTTGTGTATCCACAGCAGTGACCAGAGGAGGAATTACTGGAAAGCCAGTGTGGTGTAATGGTTAAGAGCGGTGGACTCGTAATCTGGTGAACTGGGTTCGATTCCCCGGTCCTCCACATGCAGCTGCTGGGTGACCTTGGGTTAGTCACACTTCTCTGAAGTCTCTCAGCCCCACTCACCTCACAGAGTGTTTGTTGTGGGGGAGGAAGGGAAAGGAGAATGTGAGCCGCTTTGAGACTCCTTAGGGTAGTGATAAAGCAGGATATCAAATCCAAACTCTTCTTCTCCTACTACAGCGGGGAGGAGCACAGAAAGAAGAAACATCATGGTACACCTGCATCTGCCTAACCAGACACCTTCACCTGCCCCAGCTGCAACAGAACATGTCTCTCCCATATCGGTTTCTACAGCCACAGCAGGTACTGTAACTCTCCAGTGGTTTGACTTCACCCCCAAAGGCGCACTCTTCCATTGTCTCCCAAGACAGACAGATGCCAACCAGATATGGGTAATTGCTGAACTGGGGGGCAGCTTCAACTAATGAGTCCCAGTAGTAGATGTCCACCTACACAAGGACTTCAGCAAGCTTAGTGGGGCTTTCCTTCGTCTCCCCACCAGCACCACCATATTGACTCAGGGTGGGTTCGGGAGAGCCCCCAAAACAGCACACAGGTGGAGGAGGGGGCATCATTTCATCTGACAAATTTGTGCTTGTGCTGACAGAACAATTGCCACAGTACTACATATAATTCCTCTCTTTATGTTTGTTTGTTTGTTTGTTTGTTTGTTTGTTTGTTTAATGGGAACCAGTCATTTCTTCTTTACCTCAGAATTCTAGGTGATACCTGCAAAGAGAAACATCATGCTTGGTTCTAATAAAGGTGTATTGCCCAATTGTAGTTGCTGGAAATGTTTTTTTCCTCCTTATGGACCAACATGGCTGCCTTGGTGTGTTTTTTTAAAAAAATAAATAAATTTAGTGGTGGCTCTGTGCTTGAATAGAAATAAAATGAAGTGTGACATATTGTTCTTCCCCTGAGGCCATGTTGTCCAGCATCCTGGTCTCATAACCAATTGTTTTCCTACTTGTAAAGGTAAAGGTAAAGGGACCCCTGACCATTAGGTCCAGTCGTGACTGACTCTGGGGTTGCAGCGCTCAACCCGTTTTATTGGCCGAGGGAGCCGGTGTACAGCTTCCGGGTCATGTGGCCAGCATGACTAAGCCACTTCTGGCGAACCAGAGCAGCGCACGGAAACACCGTTTACCTTCCTGCCGGAGCGGTACCTATTTATCTACTTGCACTTGATGTGCTTCAGACTAGCTAGGTGGGCAAGAGCAGGGACCGAGCAATAGGCTCACCAGTCTGGAGATGATCTGCCGACCTTCTGATCAGCAAGTCCTAGGCTCTGTGGTTTAACCCACAGCGCCACCCGCGTCCCTTACTTTCCTACTTGTAGACATCCTATATTTTATTTCTTTGTTTGATTGTTTTTGTTCATTAGTAGTTCCTTGTGTTATTCCATGGTATGCCTTTGTTTTGCTCAGGCTTGTTGGTACATGTCTACTACTGTACTGTCATCCATGCCACTATTAGTTATTGTTGTCTTGATGCATATTTCTCATTAAACTCAACTAATACTTCTCACATTTTCCAGAGACTTTCTGACTTGTCTCCATGAGTTCACCTCAGATGAGACTTGTATAGTGTTGATTAACAGCAGCTATAGTTCTACTTGTGCCATTTGGCAAAAGTAGTTCTTAGCTGCTGCTGAATCAACACTAGTGCAATTCTCATCTGAGGCAAATCTGACGGACTCAAGTCAGAAAGTGCTTTGCAAATGTGAGGTGTATTCGCTTGTCCAGTCTTCCTGAGTATTGTTGAATCAACACCTCAGTTACCCATAGTGGTATGGATGTTCCAGAACTAGTAGTAGTCATGTACCAACAAGCCTGAGTAAGGCAAAGGCATACCATGGAATAGCTAAGGAACTACCAATGAACATGGACCATTGAACACAGACATAATATATAGGATGTCTATATGTAGGAAAGTATCTTCATCTGTTAACCTTTTCTCTCATCTTTTGCATAGCTATCTCCTTGGTTGATATGTTCCTTTTTTAAAAGAATCACACTCAAATAGTCAGGAACTGGGTTTGTTTTGTTTTTAATGTGCCATAACCTCAGAATTCTCCTGCCATCCTAGCAGTTCAAAAGCACGTCCAAGTGCAAGTAGATAAATAGGTACTGCTCCGGCAGGAAGGTAAATGGCGTTTCTGTGTGCTGCTCTGGTTCGCCAGAAGCGGCTTAGTCATGCAGGACACACGACCCGGAAGCTGTACGCCGGCTCCCTCGGCCAATAAAGCGAGATGAGTGCCGCAACCCCAGAGTCAGCCATGACTGGACCTAATGGTCAGGGGTCCCTTTACCTTTAACATCAGAATTATCCAAGAAGCCCATCTGCATTGGAAATACAGTGGTACCTCGGGTTAAGTACTTAATTCGTTCTGGAGGTCCGTTCTTAACCTGAAGCTGTTCTTAACCTGAAGCACCACTTTAGCTAATGGGGCCTCCTGCTGCCACCGCGCCGCCGGAGCAGGATTTCTGTTCTCATCCTGAAGCAAAGTTCTTAACCTGAAGCACTATTTCTGGGTTAGCGGAGTCTATAACCTGAAGCGTATGTAACCTGAGGTACCATTGTAAAGGTATTTGATTGAGATGACCACCTTTTAACCTAGCAAATTGCAGACAGCACAGCTAGAGTTGCCACTGAAATCCACCAATTGTAGAATTATTATTTGTTTTTACATAACATAAAGAGAAACTGGATACCAATTACTATTATCAGCTACATGATATTTTTCAGAATGGGTATGACCAAGTAACAACTCTACACATTATATTTCTACAAAGGATCTCCATTATTAGTTTTCAAGTCATGCTTTCAGTTGCCTCTTCTTTCTTCCAAAAGGCCCTTTCCCCCAGACATTTATTTCTGCAGAAACAAATAATTTGGACAAATCTCTTTCATAATGCATTCTCAAATTATCATGAGCAGTGCTTCTGAGATATGAGCTATCCATGCAAATTATGAATGGGGGAGTAAGTATACTTGAAAGTTGAGTAATGAAGATATAAATCTGGTGTGTGGGTGTTTTGTTTCATTTAAATTGTTTGATATAAGTGAGAAGGAAGAGGGAAAGGAAGTGAGGAAAAAGGGAGCAGAAAAACTGGCCTGTGTCTTTGTGCTTCAAAATACCTTCCAGCAACTACAGAAGGAAGAATGCAAATATACATCCTGGACCCAGCTTAAGAGATCATGACTTCTCCTGTGGTATGTTATGACCGTTAAGATCAGCTAGGGCAGCATACTAACCATACATATATAAGGCACATGACTTTCCCCAAAGAATATTGGGCACTGTAGTTTGTTAAGGGTGGTGGGAATTGTACCGCTGCGAGGGGTAAGCTACAGTTCGCATGACTGGGCGGGGGGTGAGTCATGTACTTTAGACACGCTTTAAATGTATTTCGCTTATGTAGCAAAATAGTGACTGCTGTGTTTGTGGTCAAGGCTGGACATTCCCCAGCAGCTGCCCCCCCCACCATGGAATTCTTTTCTTCTTGAGACTTGAGAATAACCGAGCCTTCTAAAACACTTTCTGAAACACAAAGAACATTGCAGTGGTGTGTCTTATTCTTCTCTCCTCTTTATTTAATATGACTTGTTATAAGAACAAATGGTTGTGTGCTTCTTCACCTCACCTGTTGCTGGCATGGAAATGTTATAGCATCATGAGTCAAAAGCACAAGGTAGGTTGTACTAAACTTTATGGCAGCAGAGGCATAGCTGGTGGGTTTTTGGCATCAGGCACAGGTTTGGAGGTAAAGCATAGTTCTGCTAACTTCCTGGAGCTAGGTAAGAAGACATTTTTTAGCTCCTTTAAGCTGCTGTCAGTATTTGTCAACTGGAGTTTTATACTATGCTGTAGCATTGTTTTAGATATCTTGTAGTAAGTTTTTGTTGTTGCTCCCTTACCTGTAAAACAAGCGCTGAAGACAAAAAAGCTGTGCAGTAATAGATTAATGCTGAATTGTCTGTCTTCAGCCTAAATTAAAATGGCTACAATCCGTAGCTCAGACTGTACCAAGGAAAATTGGGCTCTGTCATTATTTTATTACTTCATTAAGTTTGAATAAATCATAAGCACTGAATCAATTGTATAAGAACGATAACTGATACAACCAAGCAAAAACCAAACAATTGTATCTTGATAAGAAAGCAAAACAAATACACAGAACAAACAGTAGAAAAGTGTAAGAATTGTATACGATAATCTTCAGGGATTATATCATATAAGTATAACAACAGAAAAGGAATTATGTTTTATATTGCAGATTCGGGAAAGAGGACACAAAACACATATTAAAATAAAATAAATAAGAAATCAAGAGACTTCAACTTAACTAGATCCCTTTAAATGCCAATGGCGAAGACCGACTGTGTTCTTGTAATACTTATATATGATTCTGGATTGTTGGATGCTGCCATTTGATAATGCCCTTTTAAAATGTGGTTTTTTTGGGGGGGGTGCTATTGGTCTGTTGTTTTATTGTCATTGGGTATCTTGTGGTTTTATATGATTTTATTCTGTGAACCGCCCTGAGACCCACGGGTATAGGGTGGTTATTATTATTATTATTATTATTATTATTATTATTATATGCTTTTGGACTTTAGGCTGCATCCATTTCATGGATGTTGTCAGTTTAGCAGCCATGATACCAGATTAAGTCAGAGGTTCAGTGTTGGGATTGTACAACTGCATTTGACTTGACTTGCAAAGACTATCACATCGCATTCACTGGGCATGAAAGTTTAGACATGATCACAGCATGACTGGAGGTAAGAGGAGGCTTTGATTCTTGGGGGGATCTGTTATGTGAATTGCACTTTCTTAAATGGAAAATTAAACCTTTTTATCACTTTGAAATATTCAGCCAGTAGCCAATTATTCATCCGTTGCTGTTATGGTTCCTTATACAGTTTAATGATATCACTGAAGGCTGGAAAGACAGTCCGGCTAAGAGAAATGCAAATCTGGACCTGCATTTTGCTTCCTCCTGGAACTTTCTTGCACTGAAAGGATATTGCCAATTAAGTTAAGAGGCGAGAGGAGATGGGTAGAGTTGCTAAGCTGCAATCTTGAGATTCCCCTTGTCCCTGTAAATCTGGTGCAGTACCTGAAGATGAGAGAACTGTGGCATCTGTCTTCCTGTGTCTTTTTCATCTTTCTTCTCTCGCCACCTATTGTGTGACTTAACTGCTCACCACAGCAGGCCAGGGGCAGGGCAGGCTAAACTACCTGGGATGAGGGAGAGCAGAAATGGCTGCCTTCTCTCCTAATTCAACAGTAGATATCAAGGTCCATGGACAGCCTTCAGGTCGCAATCTGACAGCCTGAAGGCTTAACTGTTAATAGGTAAAGGTAAATGGAACCCTAACCATTAGGTCCAGTCGTGGCCAACTCTGGGGTTGCGGCACTCATCTCGCTTTATTGGCCGAGGGAGCCGGCGTACGGCTTCCGGGTCACGTGGCCAGGATGACTAAGCCGCTTCTGGCGAACCACAGCAGCGCACAGAAACGCCGTTTACCTTCCTGCCAGAGTGGTACCTATTTATCTACTTGCACTTCATGCTTTTGAACTGCTAGGTTGGCAGGAGCAGGGACCGAGCAATGGGAGCTCACCCCGTCACGGGGATTCGAACCGCCGACCTTCTGATCGGCAAGTCCTAGGCTCTGTGGTTTAACCCACAGCGCCACCTGCGTCCCCTAACTGTTAATAGAGCAGCATGCAATTCATCTTCAGGGCAATGAGTTTTTCCTTAGGACTTTTGTGTGCAGGTTAGGGAGGTTTAATCCTTCACTCCCCATGAGCCCCCCAATGAACCCTACTCCCCAAAGTGGCCATTAGGCTTAAGGAAAAGGTTTTCATCATTGGTGCTAATAAGATGACCTTGCAAGCATCATAATAATAATAATAATAATAATAATAATAATTTTATTTGTATCCCGCCCTCCCCGGCCAAAGCCTGGCCCAGAGTGGCCAACAAGAAGCAAAAATAGCGCAGCACACACAAAATCACACAGTAAATCAATCAAAATACACTCTAAAATCAATTCAGAATCAAATTAATGCCAACCATTGGGTTAGAGTCCTATGAGGATTACAGAAGGAGAGAGGGGGTCAGACTGTGCCTTGGCCAAAGGCCTGGCGGAACAGCTCCATCTTGCAGGCCCTGCGGAAAGATGTCAAGTCCCGCCCTAGTCTCTTGTGACAGAGCATTTCACCAGATCGGGGCCATGGCCGAAAAAGCCCTAGCTCTGGTTGAGGCCAGCCTAACCTCCCTGTGGCCCGGGATCTCCAAGATGTTTTTACTTGAAGACCATAAGGTCCTCCGTGGGACATACCAGGAGAGGCGGTCCTGTAGGTATGAGGGTCCTAGGCCATATAAGGCTTTAAAGGTTAAAACCAGCAGCTTAAACCTGATCCTGTACTCCACCAGGAGCCAGTGCAGCTGGAAAAGCACCGGGTGAATGTGATCCTGCAGTGAGGACCCCGTAAGGAGTCTCTCTGCGGCATTCTGCACCCGCAGAGAATTGTACTGCACTGAGGGTGCCTTTTTGTCATCAGTAAAGTATTGCTGCTTGAGTCCAGTGGCATTGCCACAACAAAAGCGCTGCCCTGGAGCAAGATGTGTGCAGGAAGTTTTTCAACATATTAGTTGAACTAACTACTCATTCATTGCTCAGGAAAAGCTCTATGCCAGGGGTCAGCAAACGTTTTCAGCAGGGGCCGGTCCACTGTCCCTCAGACCTTGTGGGGGGCCAGACTATATTTTTTTTGGGGGGGGAATGAATGAATTCCTATGCCCCACAAATAACCCAGAGATGCATTTTAAATAAAAGGACACATTCTACTCATGTAAAAATACCAGGCAGGCCCTACAAATAACCCAGAGATGCATTTTAAATAAAAGGACACATTCTACTCATGTAAAAACATGCTGATTCCTGGAATGTCCGTGGGCCGGATTGAGAAGGCGATTGGGCCGCATCCGGCCCCTGAGCCTTAGTTTGCCTACCCATGCTCTATGCCATCCTAAAATATCACCTTTGTGTCTATACAGTTATACCTTCAAATCATCAATCACAAACAGCACCTCATCAGGTAACAAAAAAGTCTAAAATATGAATAAATACGCTTTGGCAATTCTAATGGCATTGTCAGAACAAAAGGCAATTCTCTTCCAACAGGCTCTCAAGTGTTATTTTGTTTTCAAATTTTCTGCCCCTGTCTATTATTTTTTATTAAATTTGTATACCACCCTCCATACATAGAAGAGAAGAAGAAGAAGAGTTTGGATTTGATATCCCGCCTTTCACTCCCTTTAAGGAGTCTCAAAGTGGCTAACATTCTCCTTTCCCTTCCTCCCCCACAACAAACACTCTGTGAGGTGAGTGGGGCTGAGAGACTTCAGAGAAGTGTGACTAGCCCAAGGTCACCCAGCAGCTGCATGTGGAGGAGCGGAGACGCGAACCCGGTTCACCAGATTACGAGACTACCGCTCTTAACCACTATACCACACTTGCTCTCTGGGTGGTTCACACATAGATCTCAGGACGGTTCAGCTAGCAAATCTGATAAACAGTATAAAAACAAATAATCACCCCCAGATTAAACCCAATTGCAAAACTGAAATATGAGTATTTAAATTACAAAATTTTTTGCAGCATTCCACAGCAGCCATCAGGAACGCTAATTTAAGCCTGCAATTATGAATCGGTTTGTGGTATATTGTTAGATTGTTGATCTGACACCTTGTTTGTTGCCTGGAATTAATTTGTAATAGTGGTTTATAGTGGTTTGATGTTGCATGTTGATGTTGGCAAAACGATACTTTCAGGGGCCACAGAAAGCTGGAAATCAGGGCACAGTAACCAAGCAAATAAATAAATGGAGTTATAGGGAAGTATAGAACATGTCTGAGGGGAAAGAGAAGAGTGACAGCAATATGAATATAACAGTCTCTCCCCTCCCCTGTGAAGAAAACCTCCTATGCAACCAATCTGCTAGGCAATGCAGCTCCCAACTTCCCAGAAATTATTATTATTATTTAACAAAACAGGACTGTTGCTTTCACCTACCAATCTCTGCCTCTGAAACAGGCATACCATTAAGCTATATGAGCAGTTCTGAAGCACATATTTATGGTGGGGACACTTCCCCATAAAGACATGTTGAAACAAAGACTGCACCTGAATAAAAAAATGTATATGAGACTCTCAGCAAGACTCAAATGAAATGCAGTTTCTCAGAGAGGCATTCTATTAGTGTCAGGAGATAAATACAGCTTTTCCTTAGTGTCTGCTGAGAGGGAACTAAGAGACAGGTGACAAAACATGACTTTTAAAGTGGTTGTTTTTTTATTCCCCCTCCCCATCGCAAACAGCTATAAATAAAATAATGAGTCATTAGTAAAATAACAGTTTGGAGTGGGAAGAAAGGATCTGCACACGGTATTTTCAGGCAAAGTTGCTCACAGAGACTCTGTGCCAGGGCACAAGCTATGTGGGGTTCTGAGATTCTTAGCCCCAATCATCAATTAAAACTGCAGAGGCTTTCTTCATGCAAACACACACACACACACACACACACACACACACACACACAGCCCTCACTGCTGTCAAATTTCAGTTACATATGAGCAGCTCTCTTTCGCTTCGCTTCACTGTGGATATGTTAAGCTGACAGCAGGTTTCATCTCTCCCGCCATGGGAAAGTGGCGAGACTTCAGAAAGCCTGTTTTCACTGAGTCTTTGTACCAGGTATTCAGCGATTCATAGCTAGCCAGAGGAGTCAGCAGAGGACCTGGGGGGTCAGCAAGTGGCAGCCCCAGTGCCACATTTGCTAAGGCAGGAGCAGGAAAGGAAACTGGTGGGTGTAAGAATTAGGCTTGCTGGCAGGATGGTGTGGGTCTTGGCACATCAGTCCTCTTCATCCTAAAAGTGACCCTCCAACAACACTGGCTAATGTTGTTGTTGTTTAGTTGTTTAGTCGTGTCCGACTCTCCGTGACCCCCTGGACCAGAGCATGCCAGGCACTCCTGTCTTCCACTGCCTCCCGCAGTTTGGTCAAACTCACGTTGGTAGCTTCGAGAACACTGTCCAACCATCTCGTCCTCTGTCGTCCCCTTCTCCTTGTTCCCTCAATCTTTCCCACCATCAGGGTCTTTTCCAGGGAGTCTTCTCTTCTCATGAGGTGGCCAAAGTATTGGAGCCTCAGCTTCAGGATCTGTCCTTCCAGTGAGCACTCAGGGCTGGTTTCCTTCAGAATGGATAGGTTTGATCTTCTTGCAGTCCATGGGACTCTCAAGAGTCTCCTCCAGCACCATAATTCAAAAGCATCAATTCTTCTTCAAAAGCATCATAAAGCCTTCTTTATGATGCAGTCCTCACTTCCATACATCACTACTGGGAAAACCATAGCTTTAACTTTACGGACCTTACTGGCTAATGACTAACGCTGTAATCAAAGATGCTTGTTAGGAATGGAGAACTTAGCGCCCTTCAGATACTTTTGAACTCCATCTTCGATCATCCATGACCACTGGCTATGCTGGCTTTGTCTGATGGGAGTTGTAGTTCAACAACATCTGGAGGGTCACAGGTTACCTATTCTTGATGTAGCTGTTATGAGGGACCCCTGGAGCTTTAAGGTGGTATTTCTGAGATCTCTGTAACGCTCAGAAAGGAAATATGAATGCTAAGAAGCTTCATCTACACAAATTTATAGCTGGTAGTGCAAGGGGCCTAGACTAAGGTTACCAGATTTTTTTCAATGAATCTGCGGACACTTTTCAACTTCCTCCTAAATAGATGGATTTTATCAGGGGACTGATTTGTAAATCTGGGAACAGTCCCCGGGAAAAGGGGATGTCTGGTAACCTTAGCCTAGACCGTTTAGGTGTGTTTCATGTGTCTTCCCTGAATTTTCAGCTTTCATTTAAAAAATAAACCAGTGGTCAGGGGCACTGTTAGAGGGTGGCTAAGTGGCCTAAGCTCCAGATCTTTAGCATACAGCCCAGGATTCCTGCTCCTTTCCCTCTGTTTAAACCTGGCATAGGCAAGCTCGGCCCTCCAGATGTTTTGGGACTACAACTCCCATCATCCCTAGCTAACAGGACCAGTGGTGAAAAGTCAAAGTGCGGCTTATATTCAGAACCAAGTACTGCACGTCCGCCTCCTGGCACTACCACCCTGAATGGGGGCGGCCGGCGCCGGCTTGGGGAGGGAATGCCAGGAGGCGAGCATGCAGCGCACTCAGAACCAAGCGCCGGCCACCTCCGTTCCCCATTCAGGGCGGTAGGGCCAGGAGGCAGGCTGCACCCGCAAATAAGCCTTGAATTTTTAAGGGTGCAGCTTATTTGCTGGTGCGTCTTATATTCGTGCCAATAAGGTAGATAAAATTAACATGCACAAATGTTATGCAAATTTGTGAGGTGGAACTGTGCCCTGAGTCTGTTAAGTACCTAGCAATGCCCCTGAAATCAAGTCTCTAATCCAGTGTTCCGACAAATAAGTGCAAAAGGGCTTAGCTCTTGCTTTTAATTTTTTTAAAATTAAAAATGTCTTTTGGTTTTGTTCATTGGTTTTAATCATGTAAGCCTATCTGCATTTAGGGGTTTTTTTCTCTCTCGCTCTTTTCCATTTGGTTATGAATCTTCCATCCCAGTGTCATCTTAAACACCCACACACTTACCCGGCTGCAAAATTTCTGGCTACGAGCCTGCATGCATTCCTAAAACGTACTTGGTATGCTCTGTGTCTGCATTTCCCTCCTTCCACAAAGGCAGGCTCTGAAATTTGAAATGGAGAAAGAAAGAGAAAAAAGAGGGGAAACAGTATGAAGAATGTATTAGCAGGATCAATGTCCGCATTGCTTTGAGCTAAAAGATCTGGAAGCCCTCTTCACATCCTGGTGTGTGTGTACCTCAGGTTCCTAATAGCAGCTGCAGCGCACAGCCTAGCACATTAATTCCGAGGCTGCCATAAATAGGGCTGTCAGACCTGAAATATCACTGAATTTCATTAATCTTGAAAGTGCATCACCATCGCTGCTCGGATATGGACTACCAGGCTATATTCATTACTTTGAAAACACGGGGGGGGGGAGAAATATGGTGGCCCCCCTCAAAGAGTCAGCGGGGAGGGGCTTAACATGGCACATGAAACAAGTCTGCCTTGGCCTCATCTGTGGAGGAGAGGTTTGCATTGTATTATTGTACCAGGGAGGGAGAGGATTAAGGGACTGAGGGTCAGTAGCTCAGTGAGTAGACTGAGGTGATTTTTCAGGGGCAGGAAGGGGTCACAGAGAGTTTGAGGCTTTTCAGGCACTAGGAGCAGATGCTGGATAGAAAGACAATGGACTGAGGCCAGCGAATTCAAGGTGCTAGACGCTGAAAAGAATACCAATATGACTCTGGGTGGATCGAGTTGCTAAACAGCAAGCTGCTTAAAAACAGGTGGATTTTGAATAAGTGCAGGATACAGGAAGCAATTTTAAAAAAATAATAGAAAGGAGAGGGAAATTGGGAGATTCCACTACTGATCTTTGTTTCTGCTAAGGAAAGTGAGCTGATCGTAATCTGCGTGTTTATTATAAACTTGACACTCAGTGCCTCCCTGAATTATTCAGTAGGAGCTGTGATCTCAATTACAGGGTATATCCCAGAGGTACAAAGAGAAGGGAATATTTGGGACCATTCGAACTCTTTGATGCAGCATTTGAAAAGGCTGTGACAGATGGGCACTTGCATCCCCTGTAATCAAACCGGTCCTTAACAGAGGAGCAGAGCGGATGAACAGGTCCAGCACTCCAGCACGCTGCTTGATGTTCTGACCTGGCTGGTGTAATCTCAGTTTGCATAGCACCCCAGTATGAATGAAAAGGGACGTGGGTGGCGCTGTGGTCTAAACCACAGAGCCTAGGGCTTGCCAATCGGAAGGTCAGTGTTCCGAATCCCCGTGACGGGGTGAGCTCCCATTGTTTGGTCCCAGCTCCTGCCAACCTAGCAGTTCGAAAGCATGTCAAGTGCAAGTAGATAAATAGGTACCACTCTGGCGGGAAGGTAAACGGCGTTTCCGTGCGCTGCTCTGGTTCGCCAGAAGTGGCTTAGTCATGCTGGCCACATGACTCAGAAGCAGTATTTATTGGCCCTTGGCCAATAAAGCGAGATGAGAGCTGCAACCCGAGAGTCGGCCACGACTGGGCCTAACAGTCAGGGGTACCTTTACCAGTATGAATGAGAACCTGGAAAGAGGGTGCAGAGAAAGGAAGGAGCAAGTAACATTGCTCCACTATAGTGTCATAAGGCAATCAAGCAAATAGGAATCAGAAGAAACCTAAGGACAAGATTTGTATGGATCAATATTTGCTTTCAAGCAGCTCTTGTTGTCAGTATACACTTGCTATAGCACACTCAGAAGAACCAGACATGCAGTTTTTCCTCTTTCCTCCCTACACATGCTTGGGGTAGTAGGGTGGTGGTCTTAAAGTGCCACAATATGTTTTGTTGTTTATGCTGCAGTAGACTAACACAGTTAAAGGTAAAGGTAAAGGGACCCCTGACCATACGTTTCAGTCGTGGCCGACTCTGGGGTTGCGGCACTCATCTCAATTTATTGGCTGAGGGAGCCGGCGTACAGCTTCCGGGTCATGTGGCCAGCATGACTAAGCTGCTTCTGGCGAACCAGAGCAGCGCATGGAAACGCCGTTTACCTTCCCGCTGGAGCGGTACCTATTTATCTACTTGCACTTTGCCGTGCTTTCGAACTGCTAGGTTGGCACAGTTACCCCTCTGGAATTTAAGAAACATTAGCATTATTTTGTCAAACACTATGACTGCTCATTCACATTGGTAAACCAGGCAGATTCCCAGCTATTGGTAAAGTAGTGTGCACTACAGCGTTATTAACTATTATGCCATGCATTTGATTTGTGATGCATTACCAAAATGTTTCAGAATCCACCATGAATCTTGAAGGACATAGATAGGGAAGCCAACTTCTTGGATACTAGCTCTAGTCCAAAAAACCATGTACCATTACTACTTCATATTGACAATAAACTTTGCTATTTATATTGTCTTTGGCAGGTGGCATGGTCTACCACTTTGATGGCATCTGGAACACTTCATCCAGTTGTGGGATGTAATCCACTGGGAGCAGTCAAGTACAACATTCCTTGTCTTGCTAGAGTGGCCATGCAAGGGAATGTTTGGTCCAGCCGGTCGAACTTCCTGTTCCTCCTGGCCTGGAGCATCCTTCCTTGCATGTGACTAGTAGGTGGGCGTGACCTTACCTGATCTAACAAAAAGTCCAGTCACACTGCCACCATCTTCTCTTTGATCTTCCTTTTCGTCCTGTGAACTTCCTGCACTGCTGGCTGCCAGCCAAGCAGTTTCCCTAGGTTATCTTCCATGTTGTTGTTGTTGTTTAGTCGTTTGGTCGTGTCCGCCTCTTCGTGACCCCATGGACCAGAGCACGCCAGGCACTTCTGTCTTCCACTGCCTCCCGCAGTTTGGTCAAACTCATGCTGGTAGCTTCGAGAACACTATCCAACCATCTCATCCTCTGCCGTCCCCTTCTCCTTGTGCCCTCCATCTCCCCCAACATCAGGGTCTTTTCCAGGGAGTCTTCTCTTCTCATGAGGTGGCCAAAGTATTGGAGCCTCAGCTTCAGGATCTGTCCTTCCGGTGAGCACTCAGGGCTGATTTCCTTCAGAATGGAGAGGTTTGATCTTCTTGCAGTCCATGGGACTCTCAAGAGTCTCCTCCAGCATCTCCCATACATATTTGTAATTTTAAGCCTAAAGCCTGCCTTCAGGGATCACACTGTGCTCTGCCTGATCGTGAGTAAAACTACTTTTTGTTACTTATGAATAAGACTGTGGTGTCTTTATTCTTTTAGGAGGGATTTACAAGGGGTCTTTACCAGGAACATATTAGAACACATTTCAATCTGGACAAGCCATTGTACCATTAGGCAAAGTGAGGCAGTTGCCTCAGGTGGCAAATACTGGAGGCGGCAACAGCTCCCACAGCTGTTGTTTCTGAGCCCCCACCCTAACATTCCCCTTCATTGGAGTTCTTTTAGGAGGGCCATACACTCTGTTTTGCGCCCTCTAAACTAGCCTGCTGCCCTCAGAACTACCAGTCAGTTTGGTTTCTGTGCATGGAATGTACAGGCATCAAAATGTCTTGTGCTGATTCTGAAAGTAACTGCCCTTTTTTTGGGGTGATAGAAAGTAGAATTCAGGCACATCCCAATTGTGAAATTAATTGCTACTTTTGAGAACTTATCTTTCAGATGTTTATGTAATACTCTTTTAAAACTCTGATCTTCTAAACCATTTTTAAATCATTTTAATTGGGTTTTAAAAGAATTTAACAGAATTAAGGAAGAAAATGGGGTTGTCATTCAATGTAAGCAGTGCAGCATGTTTAAACTAGCAAATCCCTCATTGTGACACACTCTGATAAAATGTAGGCTGTGTAGTGTGACTGGATTGTGAATATCTGAACAATAGAAAAATACGTTTCTCTAAAGTGGATTGCTTGTATCATAATGGATAAAGAGATCAGAAAGAAGGGAGAGAGGGAAATCTGAAAATGTAATGGACTGATACTGCATATGAAGAAAAGATTAGTAAATTCTGAATGCTTAACTCAGCCTTTGCCAACCTGGTGCCCTTCAGATATTTAAGTCTACAGCTCCCATCAGCCCCAGCCAGTCAGAGTTATATTCAAAAACATTTGGAAGAAGAAGAAGAGGAAGAGGAGGAGGAGAAGAAGAAGGAGGAGTTTGGACTTGATATCCCGCCTTTCACTCCCTTTAAGGAGTCTCAAAGCAGCTAACAATCTCCTTTCCCTTCCTCCCCCACAACAGGGAATCGATCCCGGTTCACCAGATTACAAGTCCACCGCTCTTAACCACTGCACCACGCTGGCGGAGGACACCAGACTGATGAGAGGTTGGTTTCACTAATAGAGAGTTGCAGGGAAAATAATAATTAAATTATATCTGATTGCAATTCTTGCATCACATTGCTCCTCTGGCAGCACATTTAAGAACTGGGAACTGGAAAGTGACCCTATACATCGAATGAAGTAAAGATTCTAATCAATCGTGTGTTTTGCCTGCATGCCACAGTAGCTTAATTCATTCAGAAGATGGGGAAGGAGAAATAATCATACATTTCTAAAGATTATATGTTTATTATATAAAGAATGCCTTGCTTTTCTTTATAACATAAATTCTAAAGTCATCTTGATATCAATTTTTAACTGTGTTTAAAAGCTATTGTTTGTTTAAGAGTTGTATACCCCACCTTCCTCCCAAAGGCCTCCAGTCCTTCAAGGGTGCCTTTGGTGTAATATGGCCTCTACATTTCTGCCCCCACTTGTCATTGCTATGTAAAGGTAAAGGTAAAGGTACCCCTGCCCGTACGGGCCAGTCGTGACCGACTCTAGGGTTTGCGCGCTCATCTCGCTCTAGAGGCCAGGAGCCGGCGCTGTCCGAAGACACTTCTGGGTCACGTGGGCAGCGTGACGAAGCTGCACTGGCGAGCCAGCACCAGCGCCGCGCACGGAAACGCCGTTTACCTTCCCGCTAAGTAAGCGGTCCCTATTTATCTACTTGCACTTGGGGGTGCTTTCGAACTGCTAGGTGGGCAGGAGCTGGGACCGAACGGCGGGAGCTCACCCCGCCGCGGGGATTCGAACCGCCGACCTTACGATCAGCAAGTCCTAGGCACTGAGGTTTTACCCACAGCGCCACCCGCGTCCCCATTGCTATGTACCTACCATCAAACATAGTGGCTTAAACAAGTGCAATAAGTAGAGGGTTATGGATAAAACAAACTCATGTTAAGCACCTAAACCAGGGATAGGGAGCCTATGGCCCTCCAGATTTCATTGGACTACAACCCCTCCACCCCCCACAGACACGATCATTGACCATGGTGGCTGGGCTGATGAGCACTGGAGCCCCAACAATCAGGGCCATTTTAAGCATATCCGGCGCAGTGGTGCAAAGATCCCTCCAGTGCGCCCCTCCCATTTCCCAGAGTTGTCAACCTTTTCCCAAGCCGCTGCGGGGATCGCTCTCCTTCCGCAGAGGCTTGGGAGGCAAGCTGCACGCCCGCCAGCCATATGGTTGACAGGGCGCAGCTGGTGGGCGTGCAGGAGGGAAAGGGGGGCCGCCGGCAAAGCCGCGCAGCTCCCCCACTTGCTGGGGCGCCCCTGAGAGGCCAGCGCCCTGGCGTAACGCACCAGTAAGCCCAACAGGAAGGACGGCTCTGCCAACAGTACTTAGAGAGCAGCAGCTTCCCCATCTCTAATCTAAACACAGAGGCCACATGGAGCCTTCCAACATGCCCTCCATACTTGTTTTGTTTACTCCTCATGCAGCCCTGTATAATAATAATAATAAGAATAAGAATAATTTTATTTGTACCCCATCCATCTGGCTGTGTTTCCCCAGCCACTTTGGGCGGCTTCTAACAAAGACCCAAAATACACTAAAATGTCACACATTAAAAACTTCCCTGAACAGGGCTGCCTTCACTGCCTTCAGATGTCTTCTGAATGTCAGGTAGTTGTTTATCTCTTTGACATCTGATGGGAGGGCGTTCCACAGGTCGGGCGCCACTACCGAGAAGGCCCTCTGCCTGGTTCCCTGTAACTTGGCTTCTCGCAGCAAGGGAACTGCCAGGAGGCCCTCAGAGCTGGACCTCAGTGTCCGGGCAGAACAATGGAGGTGGAGATGCTCCTTCAGGTATACTGGGCCGAGGCCGTTTAGGGCTTTAAAGGTCAACACCGACACTTTGAATTGTATAGGGAAGCTTTCTAAGGTTTACTGTTTTTCTGTGTTTTTAATATATGCTGGAAGCTGCCCAGAGTAGCTTGGGCAACCCAGTCAGCTGGGCGAGGTACAAATTACTGTTTTTATTATTATTTAGTACTGTAGTCAGAGTGGAAGAGCAGATCTCGGTTGTCTTCCAGTTCTGCTGAACCAACAATGTTCTCCCTGCTCCTCAGTAAGGCAGGAGCCTCTCTGCCAAGAAGAGGAAAGGATGGGCCTTCATAATGCGTGTTCATGATCTCTTCCTCTATCTCCCCCACCTACTTCCCCACATTCTCTTCCACCACACTGTGGTACAGCCTCAAGAAATGGAACCCAAGTTAGGGGTACGTACACGAAGGGGAGGAACTATGAAGAGATTGCCTGGCTCAGTTCCATATGAGGCAAAAGTGGACTCTCACTCCAAATACTGGAGTCACCAGGGACAGAATATAAACTTCGTTCCCACCCCTGTGGTCTCCCTGAATACTAAACCCTTTAACACTCTCCTTTATAGCTGCTTCTTATGGGGTGGTGGGAATAGTGCTGTACTTGGGGGCAAAAAGTGCTTAGTAATTATGACAGTGAATGCCTCAGCCTCCATTAACTCGATGGAGGGATGGGCAATGCATTGTGTGTTTGGTACACAGAAATGCCTTGTACATGCATATACAGTGGTACCTCGGGTTAAGTACTTAATTCGTTCCGGAGGTCCGTACTTAACCTGAAACTGTTCTTAACTTGAAGCACCACTTTAGCTAACGGGGCCTCCTGCTGCTGCCGCGCCGCCGGAGCAGGATTTCTGTTCTCATCCTGAAGCAAAGTTCTTAACCTGAAGCACTATTTCTGGGTTAGCGGAGTCTGTAACCTGAAGCATATGTAACCTGAAGCGTATGTAACCCGAGGTACCACTGTACACATTCCAGGGTTTCCCTGCAGTATACACATTACTGTCTCAGGGCAAATCTAAACAAATGAAAACTGAAAATTGGGAAACACTGGCCTGCAAGCACTCCAGTTGGAGAACAGCCTTTACCAAAGGTGTCATGGGCTTTGAAGACACTCGAACTCAGGATCCAAAGGGAAAACGTGCTAAGAGGAAGGCCAGCTTGGCAAATCCACACCGTGACCAGCTCCCGCCCGGGAATCAATGTCCCCACTGTGGAAGGACGTGTGGATCCAGAATTGACCTCCACAGTCACTTACGGACTCATTGTTAAAACCGTGTTTATGGAAGACAATCTTACTCGGCTACGAGGGATCGCCAAAGAAAGAAGAAGACTTCTAACCACAAACACCACTCATCACAATGATAGACAGTTTGCACCTTAGCAGTAATGTCTTGCCTTAGTCTTAGGCTTTCAGCAGCTGGACTCATCTGTGTGCTCAGCAGGACCCCGCGTGCACAGCATCCGTCTGATGGGCAGCTGGTTCAGAGCTGCTGATTTCCGGCAATGCTTTTCAATCCCACCCATGCACACAGAATGCATACTTTCAGACTTTCTCCACCATCTGGTTGAGACCCCTGCATCCGAGAGTGGAGCTGTCTATAGAATTCTATTCCTGGGAATTCACAGGGGGAAGATTCCATTTTTGCAGCGTCCTCTCTGCTTCATGCAAGCAGAAAGATCACTGCGGCTTGTTTTTCAGACGATGCCTACGGAAATGAATTTACTGCATGGCTATGAAGTGTGTGCAAACTGGTAGTTTACTTTCAGAATGCTGTTGAGCCCTTCCATCTGATACTTGAGATAGCCTGCTCAGTTTAAAAAGAGGAACAGGTTTATAACCCTCTGTGCTGTGGAAAGAGGTGAAGGAGGTAATACAATGGTCTAGTCAGGCAAATCATTGACTATGCAAAAGCCTTTGACTGTGTCGACCACAGCAAACTATGGCAAGTTCTTAAAGAAATGGGAGTGCCTGATCACCTCATCTGTCTCCTGAGAAATCTCTATGTGGGACAAGAAGCTACAGTTAGAACTGGTTATGGAACAACTGATTGGTTCAAAATTGGGAAAGGAGTACGACAAGGCTGTATATTGTCTCCCTGCTTATTTAACTTATATGCAGAATTCATCATGCGAAAGGCTGGGCTGGATGAATCCGAAGCCGGAATTAAGATAGCCGGAAGAAATATCAACAACCTCAGATATGCAGATGATACAACCTTGATGGCAGAAAGTGAGGAGGAATTAAAGAACCTTTTATTGAGGGTGAAAGAGGAGAGCGCAAAATATGGTCTGAAGCTCAACATCAAAAACGAAGATCATGGCCACTGGTCCCATCACCTCCTGGCAAATAGAAGGGGAAGAAATGGAGGCAGTAAGAGATTTTACTTTCTTGGGCTCCATGATCACTGCAGATGGTGACAGCAGTCACGAAATTAAAAGATGCCTGCTTCTTGGGAGAAAAGCAATGACAAACCTAGACAGCATCCTAAAAAGTAGAAACATCACCTTGCCAACAAAGGTCCGTATAGTAAAAGCTATGGTTTTCCCAGTAGTGATGTATGGAAGTGAGAGCTGGACCATAAAGAAGGCTGATTGCCAAAGAATTGATGCTTTTGAATTATGGTGCTGGAGGAGACTCTTGAGAGTCCCATGGACTGCAAGAAGATCAAACCCATCCATTCTTAAGGAAATCAGCCCTGAGTGCTCACTGGAAGGACAGATCGTAAAGTTGAGGCTCCAATACTTTGGTCACCTCATGAGAAGAGAAGACTCCCTGGAAAAGACCCTGATGTTGGGAAAGATGGAGGGCACAAGGAGAAGGGGACGACAGAGGATGAGATGGTTGGATGGTATTCTCGAAGCTACCAGCATGAGTTTGTCCAAACTGCGGGAGGCAGTGGAGGACAGAAGTGCCTGGCGTGCTCTGGTCCATGGGGTCACGAAGAGTCGGACACAACTAAATGACTAAACAACAACAACAAAGTCAGGCAAAGGGACTTTGTTTTTCAGAATGGTGTTCCCTCTCTGTAAGCTCCTTGTCTCAGTTCCTCTGCTGTTCCTCAAAGTAGACTAGTGATAGGAAAAAACAGGTACCTTATTTGATGCCTTATCTACTCCCTGCTAGCTCAAAGGGTGAGATGTCTTGGGGGGGGGGGGTTCTTGATTGCACAATTGCATAAATTAACAAAAACAAAAGTGGAGCCCTGCTGGATCACACCCATCTAGTCCAGGATTGTGTTCCCCACAGTGGTCAACTTGATGCCTGTGGGAAAGTAGTGCAATGATGTAGTTTTTAGAATCTGGATATAATGGGGTTCCAGGGAGGCCAGTCTTTAGCTAGTGGTGTGTTTTATTTCATAATGTGGTATGCCAGCCCTGGGGTATTTGGGGTTCTTCCTGCTCATTCTGCTGCGAGGGACTCCAGACTTCTGTCCTAGAGTCCTGCCCTGATGTCACCACCGATGGGACACCCCTAAGCACAGTTGCATTCTCCAGCTCGTATTCCCCCAAAACTGGTATTCAGGTGCATGGTGCTTCTGATTTTAGAAGTAGTATGCAGGCATCATAACATAACCATTGGTAGGCTTATCTTCCATGAATCCGACTAATCTCCCCTTAAAGCCATCCATAAGTTGGTGGTCATCCATACAGCTTGTGATAAACCCTGCTAGTCCCCTATTATGAAGGTACTGACCCAAATTTACAGGATTCTTGTTGGAATTATGGAAGCATTGTATGTGATGTGCTTTAACACCCCCCAAATCCCTATAAATAGGATAAGGGGCAAACTATAAGTAGGGATTGGTGTAGTTACAGATAGGTCTGCCATAGTCGAAACAAAATAAAAAAAATCCTCCCAGTAGCGCCTTAGAGACCAACTAAGTTTGTTATAGTACAGTGGTACCTTGGGTTACATACGCTTCAGGTTACACACTCCGCTAACCCAGAAATAGTGCTTCAGGTTAAGAACTTTGCCTCAGGATGAGAACAGAAATCGGGCTCCCGCGGCACAGCAGCAGGAGGAGGCCCCATTAGCTAAAGTGGTGCTTCAGGTTGAGAAAAGTTTCAGGTTAAGAACGGGCCTCCGGAACGGATTAAGTACTTAACCCAATGTACCACTGTATAGTTAAAGCTATGGTTTTCCCAGTAGTGATGTATGGAAGTGAGAGCCAGATCATCAAGAAGGCTGATCGCCGAAGAATTGATGCTTTTGAATTCTGGTGCTGGAGGAGACTCTTGAGAGTCCCATGGACTGCAAGAAGATCAAACCTCTCCATTCTGAAGGAAATCAGCCCTGAGTGCTCACTGGAAGGACAGATCCTGAAGCTGAGGCTCCAAGACTTTGGCCACCTCATGAGAAGAGAAGACTCCCTCGAAAAGACCCTGATGTTGGGAAAGATGGAGGACACAAGGAGAAGGGGACGACAGAGGACGAGATGGTTAGACAGTGTTCTCGAAGCTACCAGCATGAGTTTGACCAAACTGCGGGAGGCAGTGGAAGACAGGAGTGCCTGGCGTGCTCTGGTCCATGGGGTCACGAAGAGTTGGACACGACTAAACGACTAAACAACAACAACAACAAGTTTGTTATTGGTATGAGATTTTGTGTGCATGCACACTTCTTCAGATCTCATACCAACAACAAACTTAGTTGGTCTCTAAGGTGCTACTGGAAGGATTTTTTTTTTTTGCTTAGGGATTGGTGTGTGAGACAAAAGGATAAATGTGTCACACCACCATGAATGTACACCGAGCACCACGATGGCAGGCATCCTATTAGTTAATCTAATGGAATAGCTACAAAAATGGCGATTGCATGAGTAAAATGATTTTATGAACTGCCTCTTAGAAAGGGGTCAGAATGGGGAAGGAGAGCCAAGGAGGCTGCTGACTACAAAGTAATGTCCACAGAGCCTAAAGATTTTTGTAAACTGGTGGAAAATGGGGAGGTGTTAATATCCAAACCAGTTGTTGTTGTGGAGTTCATTTTCTGCTTCTTAAAATCAGAAGGCTACATATTCATCAGCTGTAGAACATGCTTAGCTGTCCTTCTGCACAACCCAGGACTTGGCTTAGACGTGTGCAGTTTCTCATAAACCCTTCCCCCCCTCTCCCTTGCCTGGCCCCAGGAAGTAACTGAGATGTCTGTATATCTCACATGGCTCACTTTGTGATTGAATAGCTCAAGTCATTTGCATGGCCTGTGCAGCTGTCCCGGGCAGCTGTGAGCCCTTTGTGATAGCATGTGTGTCCGACACACTTGCAAATCAATAAGAGGGTGGGGGGAGTTCAATAAGAGAAAAAGGAGAGTGGGGGAGGAAGTGACAGTTTCTGTAGTGTAGGATAATACACTGATAATTTTTTTAAAGTAATTTTTAAACTTCTGCCACTGATAAATCTCTGTATGCAAAGGACGATTCTGGGGTGCATTTTAGGCTGCTCACTCAAGTTCACGTCGTAGTCTATTGCGTTTTCTCACTTTGACCCTGTGCAAACTTTGGCTGACTCCTACAGATTGAGACCACTAATTTATATTGGGTTGTTAAATATTCCCTCACTGCCTGCTTGGTGAGAAGTGGATCATGGGAGACTTTACCGGGGTCTTTCTGGAATATTTATTTTAAAATGTACCAACAGAGTGTAAAGGTAAAGGGATCCCTGACCATTAGGTCCAGTCGTGACCAACTCTGAGGTTGCGGCGCTCATCTCACTTTACTGGCCGAGGGAGCCGGCATACAGCTTCCGGGTCATGTGGACAGCATGACTAAGCCGCTTCTGGCGAACCAGAGCAGCGCTCGGAAACGCCGTTTACCTTCCTGCCAGAGCGGTACCTATTTATCTACTTGCACTTTAACATGCTTTCAAACTGCTAGGTGGGCAGGAGCAGGAACTGAGCAACGGGAGCTCACCCCGTCGCAGGGATTTGAACCGCCAACCTTCTGATCGGCAAGCCCTAGGCTCTGTGGTTTAACCCACAGCACCACCTGCATAAGTGGAGGCAAACAAGCATCCAAGCAAGGCAGCCTATCTGTTCCTTCACAGGATCAGATTGCCAGGGAAAGGCATTGAACCTGCCTTCAATCAACCCATCAGTCACCTTCCCCACTGCAGATAAATTGCTCATTCAAGGGACCATCCACACCCATTAAGAAACATTAACACTGTTTTGTCAAATCCCACTCTAGTTAGGTGCGACCAGGGTGCTGTAGTCATAAGCAATGGGGCCACAAACGTATGACATCTTGGCTTATCCCCAAATAATCTTGGGACCTGTAGTTTGGTGAGAGTGCTGAGAATTCAGTTAGAGCTCCCTTGGCTCCAGCACTAGCACCAAACCACTCCCTGGGGTTCTTTGAGAAGAGGGTACAAATATTAAACCAGTTTTAAGTTGGTGCCTCTATATTTGTGTCCATCATACATTTGCAGCAGTGCCTTTCAGGGGATTCTGGTCAAGCTGCGTTTCAAAAAAGTCTTCCACGGCTGATTTTTTAAATGTAGAAATTGAAGGGTCCCTGGTTGCAGTTTGAAAACCACTTACTTAAATGATGCGGTCATATGAAATTGTGAAGCAAACACACTCTATTTAAACAATTCAGTGGGGTTATGATGCTAGCCATGCTGCAATGGTAAGGATTTCTTTTAAAAAATATCATTTTGTGAAAACAAATTATTCAACTAAGATGTTGCAGACAGTGAAATGTTTAGTATGCTCCAGAGTCATCTGGATGAGAGAGTACTGGAGTTCTTTTTGTAACATACAGTGGTACCTTGGTTCTCAAACGCCTTGGTACTTAAACAACTTGGAACCAAAACACTGCAAACCCGGAAGTAAGTGTTCTGGTTTGCGAACTTTTTTCGGAAGCCGAACGTGCTCCGTTTTGAGTGTTGCACTTCCAGTTTGAGTGCCACACTTCCATTTTGAGTGTTCCACTGAGGTCTGCCTGTTTTTGCTATTTATTTTGAGTTTTTGTCTTTGCGGCTCTTTTGTTTTTGTGACTGTGTGGAACCCAGTTCAGCTACTGATTGATTGTGTGACGGCAGTACATTAATTATTGCTTTCATTTTATGGATCAATGGTCTCGTTAGATAGTAAAATTCATGTTAAACTGCTGTTTTAGGGGTTGTTTTTAAAAGTCTGGAACAGATTAATCCACTTTGCATTACTTTCTATAGGAAAGCATGCCTTGGTTTTGGAACGCTTTGGTTTTGGAAGAGACTTCCGGAACAGATTAAGTTTTAGAACCAAGGTACCACTGTACTGTTTATTTAGTAGCAAGCAAGCAAGCAAGCGCACATGTAATAATTGTCCTAAAGCAACGTCTTCTGTGATCCTGAAATGCTGTTTCATAAGTTAGAAATCTCATGGCAGTCTTTCTTAGCTAGATTCAAAATTTAAGTGGGTTTCTTGTTCTCTGACATGCAATTGTATGCACCAGGGGTGCCAACTTGAATAAAATATTGGGGGAAGACCAGGTAAACCCTGGCCAGCATAATTGATCATATGACATGGTGCACACACACCATTCCCCCCCCCCATAATGATAATTTTATTATTTATACCCCACACATCTTACTGGGTTGCCCCATGCACACACACCATTTGAATGGCAATGCCCATCAACTTTTGGGGGCCTAGCCCCCTCAAATATTTTATTGTGGGGGCCAAAGACCCCTCAGCTCCTATGCTATGCATATTTACTCAGAAGTTGCACTGCGTTCAGTGGAGCTTACTCCACCTAGGATTGCAGTTTGACCTCAAAAGTGCACAAATCATCCTTTTCACCTCCTTGTCAACCAAGCAGGTGGGTGTTACACATTTAGACACAGAAGCCCATTAATTAGGGTCCAACATCGACTGCTGAACTAGATACGGAATTGAGGAGGACATTTTTCTCAGCTGGTCTATGTTCTGCAACAATATCCCGATAAAACTGTAGCCTTATAATTAATATTCTAACCTGGTTGGCAAATCTGAGATACACTTTTTCATTAATAATGGACTGTCATTTTGTCTAATTCCACTAAGGATGCTTCTAGATGGGGGCCTTATACAGTGGTACCTCGGGTTACATACGCTTCAGGTTACAGACGCTTCAGGTTACAGACTTCGCTAACCCAGAAATAGTACCTCGGGTTAAGAACTTTGCTTCAGGATGAGAACAGAAATCATGCTCCGACGGCGTGGTGGCAGCTGGAGGCCCCATTAGCTAAAGTGGTACCTCAGGTTAAGAACAGTTTCAGGTTAAGAACGGACCTGCGGAACGAATTAAGTACTTAACCGGAGGTACCACTGTAGTGCCAACAGGTCTTTGAGATCTACAAATAATTGGACGAGATGACCCTATGGGTCCCTTCCAACTGTATAATTTTAATAAACATCTATCCTCGTAACTTTTTTGGCACACAGGACCCAATAATGCCGGACCCCAAATCTAACATCACAAGTGGCAAAGGTAATAAAACGCTAGATGAACATTTCAGTCTATGCCACTGATTTTAAGATTGCCATAATTGAGCGAAGGACTGTCAAAGGATGCCTCTGTTATGAAACTGCTGGATTAAAATTTGTAAAGGAGTTCCACTCGGTTCATCTGGATATGAATAGAGACAATGCTTTCCTTTTCTAGTACAGATGTTAATTAGCTTAGCACGGCCATGTTGTTTTATCACCTATTACTGCTGTTGTAAAGAGTTGCTGTGATTGTTTTGCAAGCGGCTCTAGCAGAATTGGCACGATCTTGCATTTATTTCTTTTCTCCGTGATTTTGCTGCTTACAACTCTCTGCCCACCCTACATCTTACAATCATGTGCATAACTGATTACTGATGAAGCAGATTCTAGAACTTGAAAGCATGTACCATTATAAGATATGTTACTGACTCTAAAGTGTCCCTGAAACTTATTTTTTAAAATAGCAATCTTTTAGCATTCTTGAAGAAGGAAAAGAAATTTGCCCATCTCTGAAGTGCACCCAAAACCAGTCTGACCAGAGCAAGTGGGATAAAATACTTTCAAATACAGGCATGTGTTTGTAGCAGTGTGCCATCAAAGAGCCCTTCACCCTGGAAGGCAAGTAGGAAACAGTGCTTAAGCTATCATTCTGTGAAGGTCCCTATCTATAATGTAATAGGACTACTATTGTGCTGTCACCTGTAGAGATGACCTTCTCTCTAGGGATTTGTTTTGTTAATAGCTAAAGATGCTGCCTCAATGGGCATTGATGACTAATAGCTGCTTGCTTGAATGAGCATTGATGATGGCTTTTGATGGCTCCTTGTCACTGCTGCTGAGCGCCTCCTAGTTGTTTCAAAGAGGGCGGAGGGAAACAGTTTTGTAGATGAAAGACAGAAGTTGTGTTTTTATAGAGAAGAAGCAGAGAAGTGGGGCTGTAAGAGCATGCTGTTTCCTTTGGGGGGAACCGAAGGTGCCTTAAAGGCACACTGAATGCTTGCCTGCTCCTCTGGCTCAGTGTGTGAAGTAAAAAAAAGAGAGAAGCTTATAAAATGCACCATATGTTTCCAGGCCTCTTTAAAAAATGTATTTATTAACTGACTTTCAAGAATCAATGTTCATAAAGAAACAATAATTAAACTAGTGCATCCTTCCTTCCAATTCCTCCCCCTCTTCTCTCTTTGAGTGTCTGGATTCCTCATTACCTTCATTAAGGTAAGTTTAAATTCCATACTTGTCTGGATGTATGCCTAGTGTAACATCAGTTATGCTATGGTTACCTTAATAGAGCCACTCATAATTTTCTGTGTGTTACCTACCAGTGTGACCTTTGTCCTTTCACTGTTTCAAATATACTTGATGAAGTGGCGCATTGTTCAACAAAATCATTGGGATCTGTGTTGTTGTTCTTTGCTTTTAGCCATGGGTAGGCAAATTAGGGACGCGGGTGGCGCTGTGGGTAAAACCTCAGCACCTAGGACTTGCCGATCGCATGGTCGGTGGTTCAAATCCCCGTGACGGGGTGAGCTCCCGTCGTTCGGTCCCAGCGCCTGCCAACCTAGCAGTTCGAAAGCACCCCCGGGTGCAAGTAGATAAATAGGGACCGCTTACCAGCGGGAAGGTAAACGGCGTTCCGTGTGCTGCGCTGGCTCGCCAGATGCAGCTTGTCACGCTGGCCACGTGACCCGGAAGTGTCTGCGGACAGCGCTGGCTCCCGGCCTACAGAGTGAGATGAGCGCACAACCCTAGAGTCTGTCATGACTGGCCTGTACGGGCAGGGGTACCTTTACCTTTACCTAGGCAAATTAAGGCCTGGGGGCCAGATCCGGCCCAATCGCCTTCTAAATCCGGCCCACAGACGGTCCAGGAATCAGCATGTTTTTACATGAGTAGAATGCGTCCTTTTATTTAAAATGCATCTCTGGGTTATTTGTGGGGCATAAGAATTCGTTCATTTTTTTCTCTCTTCAAAATATAGTCCAGCCCCCGACAAGGTCTGAGGGACAGTGGACCAGCCCACTGCTGAAAAAGTTTGCTGACCCCTGCAGCTGTTTCATTGTTGTTGTTTAGTCATTTAGTCGTGTCCGACTCTTCGTGACCCCATGGACCAGAGCACGCCAGGCACTTCTGTCTTCCACTGCCTCCCACAGTTTGGTCAAACTCATGCTGGTAGCTTCAAGAACACTGTCCAACCACCTCGTCCTCTGTCGTCCCCTTCTCCTTGTGCCCTCCATCTTTCCCAACACCAGGGTCTTTTCCAGGGAGTCTTCTCTTCTCATGAGGTGGCCAAAGTACTGGAGCCTCAGCTTCAGGATCTGTCCTTCCAGTGAGCACTCAGGGCTGATTTCCTTAAGAATGGATAGGTTTGTTCTTCTTGCAGTCCACGAGTGCCATTTGGCACACTTTTTGAAGCCATGTTAGAAGACAACTGATGGTTTTGCCACCACTACATGGGTGAGTACCTGGGGCACAGACTGCAAAAGAGAGCTCCAACCACTTGCAGAAATGGCAAAAGCCATGTTCCCCACCTCACACCAAAATTTTGATGGCCAAAGCACACTTTCTCCTCTGACTAGATGTTCACTCTTACACCCAAGAAGGTTTATTTTTAGGTTGTGGAGGAGTGACTCACCTTCAGAAGAGGTCCTTCCCTGTGTGTTTGAGTCACTGTTCTGGAAGGGCCTTTTCATTGCAAGAAAGGAGGTGTGGAACAGTGACTCATTCAGGCACACCAGACGGGGAGATGCTCTTCCAAGGGTAATTCTGTGGCATCTCTACATTGGGAGTGACTGAATGGTCCAAGCAGACCCACTGCAGAACAATGGAGGCTGCCTTCAGTCAACTTCCAGCTGTCTGCCTTCTTCCTTACATCCACTTGCTGGCAGCGTCTTCCTCCATAGCCTCAGCATTGCCTTCAGCAAAGAGGAGGAGGAGGGCAAAGCTTGAATTAGTGGGCTCTGCCTGTCATTGGCTCTGGCTCCACCTACTGTTGGTCTCTGTGCTGCCTGCCTAATGGGCACCAGCCACCACTGATGCAGAGACTTGCTCCCAGCAGAGCCTGGTTAGGAGAGGTGCGTCTCATGCAGAGTAGCAGTGTGCACTGTGTTCTGTGGAGAAAGGTTCATTGGGCTCATGGGAGTCTTTCATTAATTACAGACCCCCGCCAAGTGTCCCAGGGACAGTCCCGGATTTACAGAGCCATCCCAATTTCTGATCTAATCCCATAAAGCAGAGACATCACCTTGCCAACAAAGGTCCGTATAGTTAAAGCTATGGTTTTCCCAGTAGTGATGTATGGAAGTGAGAGCTGGACCATAAAGAAGGCTGATCGCCAAAGAATTGAAGCTTTTGAATTCTGGTGCTGGAGGAGACTCTTGAGAGTCCCATGGACTGCAAGAAGATCAAACCTCTCCATTCTGAAGGAAATCAGCCCTGAGTGCTCACTGGAAGGACAGATCCTGAAGCTGAGGCTCCAATACTTTGGCCACCTCATGAGAAGAGAAGACTCCCTGGAAAAGACCCTGATGTTGGGAAAGATGGAGGGCACAAGGAGAAGGGGACGACAGAGGACGAGATGGTTGGATAGTGTTCTCGAAGCTACCAGCATGAGTTTGACCAAACTGCGGGAGGCAGTGGAAGGCAGAAGTCCTGGCGTGCTCTGGTCCATGGGGTCACAAAGAGTCGGACACGACTAAACAACAACAACAATCCCATAATGTCCCCCCCCTTTAGGATGTCCCTATTTTCATTGGAGAAATGTTGGGAGGGTATGTAATTATCATATATCTTGCAACACTTCAAATTCACTTGTAAATCCTCACGTGATCAGGCAAAGGGTGAGGTGGGACCATGCCTTGCCCCTCCCTGACACTAAACAAGCAGTCACATGTCCAGAAGCACACGGGTATCAGGTAGGGGTTTGTGTGTGTGTGTGTCCGTGTGAAACAGCATGTGAGTTCCTGCTTCGCTCTCATGCATTCACTGAATATTCGGAGAGGTTAAAACACAATTTCTACTTCCTTGATTTCCATAAACCTTCTTTTATAAACCTTCTTTGGCAGAAATAGATAAACTATTATTACCATGCTAGCTTAATGGCTTTTTCATATACCTTCTTTCACCTTCTCAATACAAAGAATAATTTGTTTGCTTTCTAAATGTGTGTTAGCGGGACAACTTGGGGTGGGGGGGTATGCGGCAATTCTTGAGCAGGCAATTCAGAATAATCAATGAAGCTCTTTCAGGCTCAAGGTACAATCTTAAGTGTAATGGTATTTTTCCACCCTAAACTGAGAAATGTGCTTCAGGCCTGCGCACTTAGCAGTCTGCGGCGGCTTCATAACATCTGCCTATGGGGGAAAGTTATTGCTCAACGCTCAGGAATGCATAGCCAATGTGACAGCAATAGGAAATAACCTCAGAGATTATAGTGGGGGCCACGAAGGGGCAGTGAATTCAAAACACAGACTGAATGTAAACAACATCTTTAGGCTGCAGGACTTCTTCCTTGAGAGATTTCACAGGAGTAAAGGCCTGTAGTTATAAAAGAAACACACCAGGAAGATGTTGATTAATCAATTTTTTAAAAAATAGATGGGATACAAATGTACTGCAACGCTAATTCAGTCATGCAAAATTTTAGAAAAAGCTAATTATTTAAAATATAAAAACAGGATGGAAGGTATTTCTTCTTCTCTCACCCATGGAACAGAATGCCTCTCTTCTGAGATGGTGCCTACCATTAGGCAAATTGCAGCAGCCAATTTTGGGTGTTAGGGAAGGGAAGCAAGTTGTTAGTTATTCATATTTTATTCTATTTTTCCCCCTGCAAGGCAGGAGCTCTACAGTGGGATTTTCTGCCTCAGTTTGCAAAGTGACTTGACAGGCCTTGGGTACTATGTACCTTCATTTTAGGGAATGGGGCATAAGCAGTCTCAATTGATGAATCGATTGATTAAAGCTCCTAAGGCTTCTTTAATCATAGGACAATCCTATTAAAATGTTTCACCTATTCCCCTCAGCTTCCTTTTTCTGAACTGTGAGAGAGATGCATTTAGAACTAAGCTGCGAAATGTAGATGCCGATGACAGGAATGTGTGTTTCATCTTTCCCATGTCATGCGTTTAGAAATGTGTGAGGCGGCGGCAGGAACACACCAGCAAACTGAAGACCCGGAAGGACACATATTCAGTATCACTGAGAAGGAGCTGTACGCTCAATAGAGCGATACGCACATAGGGCTGCTCCACAGGAGGAATAAACCTGGTCGTCCCTGAATTTCCCCTTGCATGGAAGAAGCTTGCATGCACATACGGCCCTTTCCGAATTGGTCCATTTTAAAGAAAAGAAGCTGGTAGACTCTCCTTCCTTGGAGGTTTTTAAGCAGAGGTGGGAGGGCCATCTGTCATGGATACTTTAGTTGAGATTCCTGCATTGCAGGGGGGCTGGACTAGATGACGCTCCAGGTTCCTTCCAACTACCATATTTTTTGCTCTATAAGACTCACTTTTTCCCTCCTAAAAAGTAGGGGGGAATGTGTGTGCGTCTTATGGAGCGAATGCAGGCTGTGCAGCTATCACAGAAGCCAGAACAGCAAGAGGGATCGCTGCTTTTGCTGCGCAGCAATGCCTCTTGCTGTTCTGGCTTCTGAGATTCAGAATATTTTTTTTCTTGTTTTCCTCCTCCAAAAACTAGGTGCTTCTTATGGTCTGATGCGTCTTATACAGCGAAAAATACGGTATGCAGTTCTGTGATTCACCCCAGAGCTATATACTTTCAGCATAACTTGTGAAAAACGCTATATGCATTGCAAAGGATCTTGAAGTGTGTTGTATATCCATGTGGGACCAGCAAAAATATGGTTGGGGTATTTCGGGCATGAGAACAGAATACTCCAGTTATTAGGTAAGGTAAAGGTAAAGGACCCCTGGATGGTTAAGTCCAGTCAAAGGCGACTATGGGGCTGCAGCGCTCATATCGCTTTCAGGCCGAGGGAGCTGGCGTTTGTCCACAGACAGCTTTCCGGGTCATGTGGCCAGCAGGACTAAACCACTTTTGGCGCAACGGAACACTGTGACGAAAACCAGAGCGCACAGAAATGCCATTTACCTTCCCGCTGCAGTGGTATCTATTTATCTACTTGCGCTGGTATGCTTTCAAACTGCTAAGTTAGCAGGAGCTTGGACAGAGCAACAGGAGCTCACCCCATCATGGGGATTCAAACCGCTGACCTTCTGATCGGCAAGCTCAAGAGCAGGGGTCAGCAAAGGTTTATCTTGCCTGGGCCAGATCGGTCCCACGGAGATCCCTCTGTGGGCCGGATTGTGTGCACGCGCATGCGATTTTCGGCATCTGCGCAGACGTGATTTTCAGCATCTGCACATGCGCAGACACGATATTTGGCACCATGGAAGCGAGTCCCCGCACTGCGCCTATTTAGCACAGTGCACGAGAGGGCTGCTCAGTTCGGGGGCGGCTCGTAGGCCGGTCAAACGACCTCCGCGGGCCGCTTCTGGCCCATGGGCCTTAGGTTGCTGACCCCTGCCCAAGAGGCTCAGTGGTTTAGACCAAAGCGCCACCCCCATCCCTCCAGTTATTAACCAACCAGTCAACTAGTGCTGCTCAGCTTATAAGCATTGCACAATTAATGTGTATTCTTTCAGGCATCTGAATGAACTTTGCCCTTTCTTGTGTCATGCATATTCATATTTAGTTATGACTGACAGCATCCCATCAAAAGCCAGTCCCAGAATGGACTGGCATGTTGGACTGCCACTTTTTCCCCCAACCCCAGGCTCACCAGAACATATGAAAGCACCGGCCTTGCTAATTGACTTCCCCTCCTGCTCCACTTAAACCTATTCACAGGTTCATCACAGGTCATCAGGATTTGCAAATGAGTCAGAGCTGCTGGTCTAGACATTGTTGAAAGTCAATCAGCTATAAAAGAGCAGTGGCCTTGGATAAATAATGATTGTGATGGAATATTGAGTACAACAGAGAAATTACGAAAAACAAAGAAACAACATGAACGTTCCAAACTAAGGTGCTACTGTTTCAGTTCTCTACTCTTTTGTTAAAACCTGTTGCAAATTCCAGATTCACCCCAGCACATTTGATTGATTTAGCTTTCATTTGGGACCATACCTAGGCTGATTTAAAATGGCTTGATTGAGAGAGCTTTTAATAGATGTGTTTAATTTCCTTTGGTGATTTTTTTTTTATTTAAAAAATAGTTTTACTATTGCATGTGTTTGCTGTTCTTCTGCAGGAAAAAAAGTATATTCAATTCTTTTATTACTCCCAGTAATAAAAGAATACAAAGAAAAACCGAAATATACACAAGATTTTAAACATCACATCACTCAAACTAGCTAATGGCAACAGTCGGTTAATTCATTAATTCCAACCATTTCACTTCCCTGGGAGCACATACTAGTGGCAGGCTACCACAACAAAAAAGGATCTCCAAGTGGCCTCCACTTCAGCAAAAATGGAAGAGATCCCACAGAAAGAACCTTCGGGGATCTTAATATCTGGTCAGATTCATGAAGATATATGCAGTCCTTGGCCACCACCTTGAACTGGGCCTGGAAATGGATCGGAAGTGAGTGAAGCCGTTTCAAGAGTGCTAAGAGGTATTCAGTTTGCCCAGCCAGTAATTAGCTGCTGCATACTGTACAAAGTGGAGTTTCTGAACCATCTCCATGTACAAAACACCACAATAATGCTTCACCATTTGAGAAAATGGCAGCTAGTACAGCATTAATCCTAGAATTGTAGAGTTGGAAATACAGTGGTACCTCGGGTTAAGTACTTAATTCGTTCCAGAGGTCCGTTCTTAACCTGAAACTGTTCTTAACCTGAAGCACCACTTTAGCTAATGGGGCCTCCTGCTGCTGCCATGCCGCCGGAGCCTGATTTCTGTTCTTATCCTGAAGCAAAGTTCTTAACCTGAAGCACTATTTCTGGGTTAGCGGAGCCTGTAACCTGAAGCGTATGTAACCCGAGGTACCACTGTACTACAAGGGTCATCTAGTCCAGGCATGTCCAACAGGTAGATCTACTGGTAGATCACTGGACGTCTGCAGTAGATCATTGTTAGATAATTGGCTCTCCCCAAACTGTAGCTCCTTGACCCCACCCCCCAGAATGGGCCTTCCTTCTTCCTAAAAAAAGCTTAACAACTTTGACCTGAACCCCAAAAAGGGGGATAGATCACTGTCAGTTTTTAACTCTTGTGAGTAGATTGCAGTCTCTTGGGAGTTGGCCACCCCTGATTCTAGTCCAATCTTTTGTCCAACATGGGACTCAAACCCACAACCTTGAGATTAAGAGTCTCCAGTCCTAGTGACTAAGCTATAATGACATTGAATGCATATATCTTGTTTACACAAGCAAGTTCTGAAGCTATCTGATCCAGAAATTCATAGAAAAATATTAGTACAATTACTTTTTTTTTTTTTTTTGCAGGGCTTCATTGTGGATCCTAGACTGGATAGAGGGGAAAGCAGACCATCAGAATATATTTGACACAATATCATTCTAGGATTCTATGAATTCAAAATGGTGACATCAAAGCGTAATGCATAGGAAAGGTGCATGAAAGATCTGCACGTTTCCACAAGCGCAGTAACAGCGCAAAGAGGCAATCCATTAAATGTAAGCACAGTGGTGGCATGACCTGTTTCAAAGCAAATTCATCCTCATGGAGATTGAATTTCATATGCAGTGACTGAATGTCCAAAACCAAATGGCCTTATTCATGAGAACGACATGTTTTATACGAAAGAAAACATTTTCATCGGATTTTTTTTTAAAGCTCTGTAAGGTGTGTACCCCTTTCTGTTTCCTTTGCGACTGGATCTCAGCAAAAATGTTGGGAGGGGGAAAACAAAACCAGTTTCTGGAAATGGATCCTCAGCGTGCAGGAGAATTTTCTAGCAGCTTGCTGAGTAGTGACCTGGCTACCGTATTGCAAAACACTCAAAGCGGACAAGAAAAGCAGTATAATGGAACAAGAACATCATCAGCAATAATGTAATGAATAAATAACAGTTGGGATTTAGGTGGAGCTGTGTGCATCCTACATTTGTGCTGTAAAGGTAAAGGGTAAAGGGACCCCTGACCATTAGGTCCAGTCGTGACTGACTCTGGGGTTACGGCGTTCATCTCGCTTTACTGGCCGAGGGAGCCGGCGTACAGCTTCCGGGTCATGTGGCCAGCATGACTAAGCCGCTTCTGGCGAACCAGAGCAGCACGCGGAAATGCCATTTACCTTCCCGCCAGAGCAGTAACTATTTATCTACTTGCACTTCGTGCTTTCGAACTGCTAGGTTGGCAGGAGCAGGGACCGAGCAACGGCAGCTCACCCCGTCGTGGGGATTTGAACCGCCGACCTTCTGATCGGCAAGCCCTAGGCTCTGTGGTTTAGACCACAGCGCCACCTGCATCCCCATTTGCACTGTACATACTTGGAATTTGGTAGTGGCTCAGCATGGAGTCCCATCAAATGTCAGTCTGATGCAATCACATGGGAGAACTAAATTAGTACGTATATGGCTGGAACTGGAGCAGAGGACCCAATTCCGAAGCACCCAGTGGCATATCTAGGCTCCCTTGTGCTCCTGGCAAGGAGTTGTATTGGCGTCCCCTCCCTCAGTCCCTTGCGCCGTTGGAAAGACCATGGACCAGAAACTCAACACGTTTGCTTTTCATCACCTTTGGGGCAATGGGGTCAAAAGACCTGGTCCAGCAACTAGATTCTTCTGCCAATGATTCCTCCACCAAGGTGACCAGAGGAGCCTGCAGACCCAGAGCAGCAGAAGTGCAGCCTGGGGAGCACATAGACAGATGGGCAGGCTCCTAGCAACTCTGAGCCAGAGTGGAGAGGCGAGATTTTTGCATACACCCCAGGCCTGCAGCTTTGGTAGGGGCTAGCCTGGCTAACCCCTAGGTATGCCCCGGAAGCAGCCACAGCAGATTTGTATGCACTTGGGCAAACAGCCTCCTTGGATTTCACCTGTGATCTGGAGTAACCTTATCCTATCACCACTTGGATCGCTGAAATTAGTGGGAACAAGGACAAGGCTTTCTCTGTGGTGGCCCCACAGCTCTGACATTCTGACATTCTTTGCCCATGGTTCTGCAGGAAGCTGCCACACTTCAGTTCTTCCAGAATGCCTTGAAAGCCTGTTGGTTTTAGATGGTCTATGCATGAACAACGTTTTCTGACTGGGATGTTAATTTTTGCTTTTAACAGTTCGTACGTAATTGTTTTTTATTGCTGTTAGTGGACGGATTGTGTTTTAGTGCTGATTTATTGTAGTGGTTTTATTGTTGATATCCTGCCTTTACTGTGTAAGCTGGCTTGAAAGAGTTGCGCTCAGAAAGGTGGCCTATAATTAATTAATTAATTAAAAATAAATAAGTTGAAAACGCTACTCTCTCATTTTCTCCTTTCATGGAGGAGGAGTGCAAGTACATAATAAAATAAAATGGTTAAACTGGTCTCTAGCTTCATCTGGGTAGGAAATGCTGAATGAAACAAATATTCTGTTTTGTCCTAAGGGCAGAATCTTTTCCAAGTGTTCCCTTGAAGGAAACAACAAAGATGGCAACATCCCTCTTCTTGGAAAGCGGAATGGGCGCATGGCGAGAACGATTCTATTTCTCAGTGGGATATGACAGGGCACTTGCCATTTGCTTCTCGAATATAGACGCAAGCCTTTTTCAGTCCACACCATCGTCCCATGTGCTGATGGCCCACCCATTGAATTCTGCCATAATTCACATGCAATCCATAAAGACCAGCTGCCCAGACATTTGACTTGGAAGCTGAAGTTTTGAATGGCTTGTGTTATGTGTGAGCATGAGAACGAGAAAGCTTGCCAACATTCTATTCAGCCCTAGTCATTTTCATTCACGAGAGGTAAAGGCTGTGCCCGGGAGATCCAGCTCTGGGTCAACCCAGGAGAGGTCCAGTGCAAAAGGCTATGCAACTCTGCTAATACCCTTATGTATTGTTTTGGACGGAATGCGGATGTCTTTTTTTCTTTTCTTTTTGTATAAAATAAGGATGGGGGGGCCTGTGGCCCTACAACTCAAATCATCATCGGCCATTGGACATGCTGGCTAGGGCTGATGAAAGCTAGAGTCCAGTAACATCTGAGAGGCCATAAATTCCTTGTCCCTGCTATCAAGCTAGCAGTACTTGTTCATTCCAGAGACAGTTTTCAGTATGCTTCTGGATTCCTTTATACAGAAACAAGACAGTATACTAAGGCTGCAATCTCATGCTTCCTTGGAAATAAATCCACTGGAAGTGTGTCTTACATCCAAGTAAACCTGCTTAGGGCTCACAGTGCACATGTACAAGGAAGGCAACAAGCTTTGCAGTTGAAGGTTGATTAAATGGTGAATGCTTACATTTTGCCTCGAATGTAGCTCATCTCTTACAGCCATGTGATCTAATGCAATAATAACACTATTTTCCTTCTGGGTCTTTGATTCCATACTGCAGCTCTCAGTTTTTGTGCTTCATTAGGCTTTGTCTAGACTCCTCACTCTCCTTTCCTGCTAGTCCAATGCAGATGCAGGAGCGATGCTGGCAAGCTACTTTATATCTTTCCCTCTTTTTTTGAAAAAAACAAAACAGCACATCTGGGTAGTGATCATCCAGTCTTTGGAACACCAGCACAATTTGGACACTGACCTTTAGCTCACACATGCAGATCCTCAGTGCATTTCTTGATTACTGTACACTTAATGATTGGCAGCAGAAGATGCAAGCATTATGTTTTGGAAAGATGTGAGATGCTATAACAATTATAGCTGAAGAATTGACGCTTTTGAACTATGGTGCTGGAGGAGACTCTTGAGAGTCCAATGGACTGCAAGAAAATCAAACCTATCCATTCTTAAGGAAATCAGCCCTGAGTGCTCACTGGAAGGACAGATCCTGAAGCTGAGGCTCCAGTACTTTGGCCACCTCATGAGAAGAGAAGACTCCCTGGAAAAGACCCTGATTTGGGAAAGATGGAGGACACAAGGAGAAGGGGACGACAGAGGACTAGATGGTTGGACAGTGTTCTCGAAGCTACCAGCATGAGTTTGACCAAACTGCGGGAGGCAGTGGAAGACAGGAGTGCCTGGCGTGCTCTGGTCCGGGGGTCACGAAGAGTTGGACATGACTAAACGACTAAACAACAACATAAAGATTATATCTTTGGTGTTAGACCTGCAACGATCTGTTCACACATGCAAGTGTAGCACACGTATGTGTGAAGCAGCCTTCCTTCACTGTTCAGTCTCGAACAGCTTTCATGATGTTTTCTGTTCTCCCCCATGTGCAAAACAAGAGAATTGAAAAGCACTAATATCTCGCTACCAACACCACAAAAGCAAGAACTGTTGTAACAAGCAAAATGGGGGTGAGTAGCCAGGTTCTATCCTTCAGATTCCTGCTGTTTGAACATTGCTCATTGTCCTGAATGTATTGGAGATTTGTAAATCAGATCCTGCAGGGGTGTGTGTGGAGTCCTCCTGCTTCCCCTGGGGGTGGGCAGGGGAAGAGGACCCGCATTTCAAAGCAGCTGTCTCTGGGGAGTGGCGCAGAGATCTGTAGGGCTGGCAGCTGTGCTTCCTGGGAACAGCCAGGAGCAATTCTGCTGACGGGACTATTTTGAGTTGATTGCAGATCTCATGCTCTGATGTGCTGAAACCTCGGCATTTCCTTGCCTCGTCCTCCCAAGTCATTCCATGTGCTCTTCTTCCCAGCTCTGAACATCACTTGACATGAAACGGTGTACATCTGGCAGCTGCTGCCATGGAATAGATTTGCCGTCCTCCCACCTGCAAGCCCTTTCCATGGGAAATTGCCACACTCCCCCCCAAGGTGAAGACAGTTCAAAGTCTAGCCCTGAGACATCTCTCTTCCTTTGAAGCTGAATTTTAAGTGGGGGCAGGTATGTGTGTCTCAGGTGACTTCACTACTACTTTTGCAAGAAATCCAGGCTCCTGATTACTCTGCGTCCAGTGTGTTCTCACCATGGTTTGGGGAAGTGGTTGTACCCATGGCATTAGCCACAATCCTGTATCCATCATCTTGTTTCTTAGGAAATACTGTTTTCAGACACATCCCACTCCCCGCCCCCAGCAAACCAGCTTCCATACAAATTGAGAAAAAGAACAACCCAGCTGTTTTTTAAGCCAGTAATACGTACACAGCCCCAGCGTTTCTGGAGATCAACAATGCAGGGCGTTTAGTTTGAAAAGAGGGAAAACAAAGAAAACCCAAACAACCTCAAATTCCTGACGTGCATTTTTTTAAAAAAAATGTCTGGCTCTCTTTGGTTGAATGATCTGCATCCCCCTCCTCACATCTCCCCAAGTTCAGTCTCATAAGTATCAGGGAGTTAAAAAGAAGATAAAAAACAAAACAAAACCAGGACAGGCAGGTTTGTAAAATTATAGGGTTTAGATGCATCAAAACCAAGGCGAGGGGGAGAGAGAGAGTGAAGGTGAATTGCTGCACAAACCTCGTCCAGAACAGGCCTCTTGGATAAGGATCCATTCTCCTGACAAAACGAGTTGCATAACAATGACGCTGAACTGGAAGCCTATACAAACAAGTCCTTTGGTGAACCCACCTCGAAGGGGGGGGGAGAGAAAGGGGGACGCACAACAGCTGCTTCATCTTGCCCTCCCCCACACCACCCACACATTCTCTCATGCGCTACCAAAATCCTTACTCTGACACAGATTCCAAACAAAAGGTGGAGTCCAAGATGCTTAACGACATCTCCGAATATAGATGCACTTTTTGGGATCTGCAAGCTCTGGGGAGGAGGGGGAGGGAGGGGCCGCTGCTATTCTTTCTCTCCCCATTGCATTTTCTCCAGGGCCAACTAGAGAAGGATGCCGGCCTTAAGCGACCCTTTGAATTTCAAAAGAGAGTAGCAGAAATAACGAATTTTGCATGGAGCAAATCCAAAGTGTTGCAATGAAGGAGGATCGAATCAAGAGATTAACCGGAATGACAGTCATTCTCACGCCAGCTGGAAACGGAGACACGCACACTTTTTCTGCTGTTCTAAATGTGGCCTTTGCCACAGGAATCAGTTGAGCTACATATGAGCCCATGGGTCAAGTTGGTTGTGATGCCCCCAAAACAAAGAACTCCAGTGTTGAAGAGGAATTAAATTGCACTGCGGAGCAAATTTCACCCGAAAGGAAACTGCCTGCACCAACAGACTTCCCTGGGACTACAGCCACACAGCCTCAAACACACAGCTCTCCATGGGAAAACTGCGCACAGCATTGCATCAATACTGCAGAAACTGAATGCTGGGTAGATGTTCTGGGTCATACCTAAAAACTACCGGTACTTTGCCACGGTGGCTGAGAGATTCAATTGCAAACTCAGGAGCCTCCAGTTCTGAAATATACTCAGAGTCGAGAGTGGATTTCATGCTCTTTATTCAGCTCATAGTGGTGAGGAGGAATGAAAGTTTCCCCAAAGTATCCGCATTATATACATTATTTACACATTATTTACACAATGGGCTGCACTTATTGGCTAATTCCGGTATTCTCCTGTAGGCCAATCAGGTTGCAGATTCACTTCCACCTGGAGCTGGATTGGGTGGCTCCCTCAGCCAAGAATTTGCTGGGTGACTTCCGGCAACCTACCAACTATGAGACCCAACTTTCCACCTGCAACATCGGGATAATAACACTGGTCTGCTGGTAAGGATTACTGAGTGAAATGATGTACCTGAAACCTTTTGCATATACCCCAAAAGCACTATGTAGCTCCAAGCATCCGCCCAGATTGTCCCTACCCCAGCAAAGTGCTGTGATCCCTGGTAAAAGATTTGCTGCATTCTTGAAAGTTGCATCCCTCCCTAGCGTCTATCGCAGGGTTAAGACCTGGAGCTCATTTTGCTGTGTTGTGATATTATGGAGAGTGATAGTCAGCTCTGTTCAGAAAAGATTAGGCAAATTTGTGGAAGACGGGAACACCAGTGGCCGTTTGCCAAAGTTTTATCAGGGGATGGAGCCCGTTGGAGGCTGGGCATGCCAGAAATAGATGGAACAAGGAAGCCATCAAGCCACCATGTCTCTGCTTCCTGTTCGCTTCCTTTTTGAGCATCTGGTACCGGCCTCTGATGAAGGAAGGACACTTTCAAGTTTGACTTTTTCCGGAAGTCTGATTTGTTTTGAAATTCCGATGTTCGAGGTTAATGCCCAAACGGCTGGATAACCTTTTCTGCCTCGTGGGCCTTGAAAACAGAGGGCTTAAAGGCCACCCTGCCAAGAGACAGGAGTTGCACAACCCTAGACCTCTCCGGCAAATGATTAAACTGCCTCTCTAGTCTGTGCTAAAGCAATAGTGGCGGACAGGATTGCCAGGTTGCAGCCTGGAAGTGGTCCCTCCAAGTTCCAACAGGAAACTGAGGAGCCCCATGCTGCCCCCTCCAATACTCTCCTCTTCTGTCTGGAATATCATGGATCCTAGCTACAAAAAGCAGGGGAGAAACACAAGGACTGCGGGAAGGAATAAGCAGAGACACCATCACTGTGTTTCCTGCCTTACCTCTTGTTATGTACTGAAGTTCTCACCCTGGGCCAGCAGGGGGATACTGTAGATAGTTCAGGTCCACATATGCAAATAAGGGATCGAAAGTGACGTTCAGTGATTGGATAGTTACAGAATGTTGTTACAGTTACGTTGTACTGGAGCTCTATATAAGCAAGCAGGGCTGAGCCCTTCAGTTCAGTTCTGTTCTGGCCTGTGAATAAACAAGAGCTGTTTGAAGAATCGCTGTGTCGTCTGAAATGTTCACCCACAACTTAACACCTCTAGTTTTAAAGAAGGGATGAGTAACCTGTGGCCCTCCAGTTCCAATCAGTCCCAGTCATCATGGCCAATGGGCAGGGATGATGGGAATTGTAGCCCACTGACGCCCAGAGGGTCACAGGTTAGCCACCTTACTTTGAAAGTGATAGAGCAGATCCATGGGTTGCAGCCCATACTCCTATTGGTAGAGTATGAGGATGTGTCTCTGAAATTGTCATCTCTTAGCACAGACAGGTAGTACCCTTAAAATCTCCTGGAGCAGGAGGAGATCAAAAAAGTGTGCCTACCTGTTCATTTTCAGCCATTCACTCCTTTTCCTCATGGTGGAACAGTGCAACTTGCCCCCCATGGTTTGCAGTCTCTTCCCCTTCACTTGCCTCCCCCAGGCATGTGTCCAAAGGCACTCTCTGAGGAAAGGGGGTGAAATATACTCGGAGTCGAGAGTGGATTTCATGCTCTTTATTCAGCTCATGGTAGTGAGGAATGGAAGTTCCCCCGAAATGTCTGCTTTATATACATTATTTACACAATGGGCCCCACGTGATTGGCTAATTCTGGGATTTTCCTGTAGGCCAATCAGGCTGCGGATTCACTTCCACCTGGAGTTGGATTGGGTGACTCCTGTGGACCAATCAGACTGCTGCATTCTGAATCCTATTGTTCTAGGACCAATCAGACTGCTGCATTCTGAATCCTATTCAACTCAGTACATAACAGGGGGTCTTCATACCTCGTGGCATTGCTGGGTTCCTCAACCCTACACCCCAGGGGATCACAAGGTAAGTGGAGTTAAATAGATGTTGGGTTGCCCAACTTTACCAATGGGACTACACCTATTCAATGAACAGCTCAGTGAATCATGAGCTGCCATCACCTATTGCAGAGACAGGGAACCAGTGGCTCTCCCAATACTGTTGGACTCCAGTTCCCATCAGTCCCTGCCAACATGGCCCAAGGTCAGGGATGATGGGACTTGTAGTCCAACAATACTCTGAGAGCCGCAGATTCCCCATCCCTGACTGACCAAGTGAGCAGAGTCGTCGGAGTTTTATGAGGAGAAAGTTCTAACTAGGGTTACAACCAGACTTTTTTCCAGCTGGGACTCGCCGGAACTCCGTTCTGGCACCTCTCAGGTGGGCACCATTGCCATTCTAAGAGCACGAGGGAGGTGTTCGTGGCTAGTTCTGGCACCTCTTTTTCTAGAAAACAGCACTGGCTGCAACTCTGCTAGCTTCCAATCTCTGCCCACCCAACTCCCCAAGATCTAAATCTTTACAGCACTTTGCTGGTGCAGTTGGTGCAAAGGCACAGCAATCTGCTTTGGGGTACTGAGTGGGATAAAACTAATGTCAATCGACCAGTCTTATCATTAGGTGTTTTTGCTCCCGAGGTGGGGGGGAGGGAGTCCAGGTGAAACAAAGATCCAATGTCAGGCTCGAAAAGATCTAAGATTTCTACGGTTTAACCTGCTGCGTCCCAGCTGTCTCTGAGACAGGGCTGGGGAGACACCAGTGTTATTGTTTGAGGGGTGTGTGTCTGGAAATGGAGCATAGCAATTGTCGGTAGTTTTAGCACAAAGCTGTACAGCTTTGAAAATTGGGAGGAAAGGACGTTCGTACCATTTCAGGCCCCTGGCCCCAAAGCAAAAGTACTGAACAGACCAGAATATTTCTGAGCAGTTGGTATCCCTTATTGGAGCCTGGAAATTCATTCTTCTCCATTTAAAATCCTCGAATAACTGAGAGATGCAGCTGCTACGGCTTCTCCTGTCAATCTTTTCCTGGTCCTTTCTGTCTCCCCAGCACCACCACTGTGTTGTACACCTGGGGACTTGCTTGCTTTAGCAGCAGAGGGAGGAGGAGGAAAGGACCTGGGAAAAAGCAAAACAGATGGGGGAAGCTTCCACAGTTGCAGCATCTGCTGTTTAATTGGTGGTTATAAAGGGACAAAGCAAATCACAAGGTCACGACCTGAAAAATCCTATTGGCCGAAGCATCATGGGACAATATCCTGGAAGGGCTGTGCAAGTTTTAAGCAAACTCTTGATGCTAACCTGGACACAAAAAATGTTGGAGATCAGCGATCAGGATTCTTTAAAGCGATCAGACGCTATTGGAATCCAGCACCCATCAGGTAGTATGGCACAGTGGTCAAGGATGGTGGGATTTGTGGTTCAAATTCTAGAGATCGCCATACTGGCTTTAATGAGATGGGTGAGCAGATTTCAGCTATCACACTGGGGGAGAGAAATTGTAACCTTTCCCTCCCTCACAATTTTTCCTGATGAATATTTCTCTCTCTGTCCCCTTGCTGCTTTCTCCCTGTTAGGGAAAAGTTGTGTTTTCACCCTGTGTAGATGTCGGCTTTCTCTAAACGCATACGAAGAACACACAACAGCTTCAAGAAAAGTGATTTTCATTAGGAAATGGTGCTGGGAGGGGGGAATGTCAGCCTCTCCCCTAGCACTATGGTCCCAACCTGAATCTTTCCCTGTGACAGCTAACATTTAAAGCTATACATTAAAATATTTAATGTGAGTTTTGTTTTGTTGACTGAGGCCCTAATAGGAGATCTCTGTGACTGTATCTTTCAACTCTTTGGATTCACACACCATACATTTAAAGTACTCTTATACCACTTTAACAATTGTTGTTGTTGTTTAGTCATTTAGTCGTGTCCGACTCTTCGTGACCCCATGGACCAGAGCACGCCAGGCACTCCTGTCTTCCACTGCCTCCCGCAGTTTGGTCAAACTCATGCTGGTAGCTTCAAGAACACTGTCCAACCATCTCGTCCTCTGTCGTCCCCTTCTCCTTGTGCCCTCCATCTTTCCCAACATCAGGGTCTTTTCCAGGGAGTCTTCTCTTCTCATGA